CCAGTGCCTGAGGGCCTGCCTTTGTTGTTCCATGTGTAGCCATGCCATGTGTAGCCAGGCATTGGCCTTTTACCAAGGCTGGCCCCCTATTGTCCTTTTACCAAGGACAGCAAAAAACTAGCAAACACACAAGCTTGAGCATATGCAAATGGCTGCAGGGTCTTTGGCTCAAGGGTGTGGCATCACTGCCCAAGAAAAAACATGTTGACAGGGAACCCTCAAAAATGACAGGTGAACATGTGTTTGGGCATCATTAGAAGGCAGTCCATTTAAACTACCCTTGGGGCACAAACAAAAAAACAACATATGTGTCTCACCCTGGGGGGGGGGGGGGGAGGGGGCAACACTGTTTTTGACACCAAGCTGCTGTGCTCTGCCCCTTTTACCAAGGGTATAGCTGTACAGGTAACCCTTCCCTTTTACCAAGGGTGATGCCATTAAAACTTTCACATTGTCACCTTTTAGCAAGGGTGTGTTTTGTAGAGGCTTGCCCTCAACTCCAGAGCTTCTTCCTTTGTGAGGTGCTCCTCTTGCAACTGCTGCTTGATGTTCTGCAAGATCTCTTTGTACTTTGGATGGTTCCTGTTTGTTGTTTCCACAACTAGTTTTGGCTTCCCCTTTGGGTCTGTAGTGCCTGTTATGTAAGCTCTCCATGGTGGCTTTGCAGTTTGGGTGACATAGAGCTTTGCCCATGGCTTTCTTACAGCTGCACCTTTTACCAAGGGCTTTGCACCTTTTACCAATGGCTTTTTCTTTCTGGAGCCTTTCCCTTTTACCAAGGGTTTTGTGGAAGAACTTGCTTTGTGGTTCCTTGCTTTGGTCTTTGCCTTTTTGGCCTTGCCAATGCCCAAGGCATCTTTTAACCTTTGTTTACCCTCTTCTGTGGCTGCTGGTTGTGTTGCTAAGCTGCCTTTCCTCCTCCTTTTGAAAGAGGGTGGCTGCTGTAGGGTTGCATCATTCCCCCCCTTGTCCACCCCATCCCCTTTTACCAAGGGGCTTTGGCTTTTGTCAGGCGTTTGTAAGGCCAATGGAAAGCCTTCAGAATCAACAGTTGCCTCAGAAACCTCTTTCTTGAGCTTTCTGGCGTCTTCTGGCCTTTCAGGAAGGGGTGTGTGTGATGCTTCCCTTTCAGCAAGGGCGGGGTCTGCTTTTTCCCTTTCAACAAGGGTGGGGTTTCCTTTTTCCCTTTCAGCAAGGGTGGGGTCTGCTGCCACTTGCTGTTTCTGCTGGATCATCTTCACAACTTCCTGCAACTGCAGGAATTCAGCCCCAGTCAGCTTGGAGGCACATGCTTGCATCTCATTTTGCCCCAGGAGCCGCCTCATGTGGGACAGGAGGATTGTTATTCGCTCCACCTTCAGCCCCACCCACACTGATCCATTCCATTTGGTGCTGTTCAAGGAGGGCTCACCCAGCAAGACTTGAAACATAGCTTGCCTGAGGCAAGCCCCATGAATCTCACATATGGGTGACAGTTCAACCAGCCCTTTTAGCAAGGGCAAGCAGACCCACAGGCCTTTTGGGTCACATGCCTGTGACCTAGAGATTTTTTCATAGCTGCCAAGATCTTGAATCAAGCCTGAGTGCTTGGAAATCTCCTTGAGGAGCAGTCCTGGGTCTATGTGAGGTTTGGGGGTGTGCCTGGCCCCACCTTTGCCAACACTCATGACCCTTTTACCAAGGGCACTAGTGACCTTTTACCAAGGGCACTATACCTTTTACCAAGGGCGCTGGCAAGCAATCCCTTTTATCAAGGGTTGCCCATGTGCACAAGCATTCTAGGATTTGAGCCCAAGTTCCAGAGGCACAGGACCCAAACTCACATCAATAGAATTGTCAAAAAAAATCAATAGAAAGCAAGATGAAAATGACAAATTAATATCAACAGAATTTGGGAAAACACAACATACTTCAAATATTGATTTAATCAATAGAAACGACAAAAATCAATATCAATTCAGAACATGAACTTCCCATTGATTTAAATCAATAGCCGATGCCCAGGGCAACCTTCAGGTATCACTTGGCTGAGCCAAGCGGAGCCAAAAGGGAGAGTAAGGATGCTAATTCGCAGGATCCTTGCCGCGTTAAGATACAGAAAGCAACTTGGCCATTTTGTAGTCTCACTTGCGGAGTTCCTGGACTTTAAGCTTGTTGGGGTTGGACCATTTTAGTGTCTTCACTAAAAGTTTGGTTGCTTTTTGGGCCAATCCACTCGATCGGAAGTGAGTAGTTGTTTCCCATATCTTTGACAGATTGGATTCATCGGCCCAAGCCATTAGCCAAGCACCTGGCGCCGGGTTGTGCCGGGCTTTGCTCACGCCACGATGGCGCTTGTGGCTTGACACAGGGTGTTAGCTGCAAGCAGCCGGGTGGACCCGAGTGTGTCTCCAAATTTGTCTCTGACTTACTTTGGCTCCTGAGATGTGGATGCCACAGGCTTTCCTGCCATATTATTTCGTGCAAGAGCCGGGGGCATTGAAGTGACCCATTCTGGCAAGTATCCAACTCACCTCTGGAGCGACATTGCATTGAACCCATCTTTGAGATGCTTTTGAGGGTGTCACTTTAATGGTCCCTGAGTTCACTACGCAGTTTTCGCGCTCTGGCAGCGCGGCCTTCGCGCTCTGGCAGCGCAGCCTTCGAGCTCTGGCAGCGCAGCCAGCGCGTGCTGTGCTCGAATTCCACCTCTCGATGCCCCTAATAAAGTGGCACGTTAGATCAGTGGGTCGGTCTTGGCAAGGTCTTGCTTTGCATCATGGAGGCTGCTGAGTGACCTGGGGACAAAGGGACTCCAAAGAATCGCAGATATCGCACGGTGAGCAACTTAATGCAGATTGACCCATACCATTTGTGGCCGTTGTGTTGTCAAGACAGGGGGGCTGAATGGTGGGGCGCAGTATGTGCGCATCCCATCCAAGCATCCCCTATAGTTGTTTGGTGGCCCTAAGGCCAAGCTTTGGTAATGACCTACATAAGAGCCACATCCCAACCTGTCACCCCCTGTTCAAACTGTTCAGGAGTTCTTGGAAGAGAAGTCCCGAGAGAAACCGGCTTTGCAACGCGTTTTCGGGGTTCCCCTGTGAGACAGTTGTTTGGCAAGCTCGCCTTGGCGAAAAAGGAGCTCACGATAGCTCACGCATGAAGCTCCTTCCTTGTGGATCCCTTTTCGGTCCCCTGAACTCAGATGGGGTGAAATCTGGGATGCAGATGTGCGATGTGCGAATTGGCGGAATATCTTTGCTTTCGTTGAAGCCCTTGGCAAAAGCTACCTGCCATCGACGGGCTCGCGCGCGGTCGCGGTGTTCAGCACGACTGCTGGGCGAAGCCTTTTGACAGCTGAGCTTCACAGACTCTTGTTTGGCACCGTGGAAGAGCAAAGGGGCGTGCGCGACAAACCTCAAAATGGGGAAAGCCGGTGATGGGTTTGGGCAGTTTGTGTTTTTTGGTGAAGGGGGCGAATGGGCGGACTTGCTCCGCGAATGTGTGAATCCTGGGGAAGGTGCCTGGAAGATCCTCGAAGGTCGATTTCCTGTTGAAGGGTTCCCTCATCATCAAATCCCATGGAGGGAAGGCTGCCGGAGATGAGAGACATCCAGGGCGAGGAGCTCCACGGGCCCCCAAAGTGGGGCAAAGATTGCAGGAGCTGATTTTGGGCTGTTTTCGCGCCTTTGGCTCATTGGATAGGCTCAATCTTTCCCCCAAACACCGGCGATTGGGAGCAGGACTAGGGGTAAGAGCAGTAGTCGTTGTTGCCCTAGCTGTAGCTGCAGTCGCTATCAGAGTTATAGTCGCAATTGCACTAGTAGTAGTAGTAGTAGTAGTAGTAGTAGTAGTAGTAGTAGTAGTAGTAGTAGTAGTAGTAGTAGTAGTAGTAGTAGTAGTAGTAGTAGTAGTAGTACGGTAGTAGCAGCAGCAGTAGTAGTAGTAGTAGCAGTGGTAGCAGTAGTAGTAGTAGTACTAGTAGTAGTAGTAGTAGTAGTAGTACTAGTAGTAGTAGTAGTAGTAGTAGTAGTAGTAGTAGCAGAAGTAGTAGTAGTAGTAGTGGTAGTAATAGTGGTAGCAGCAGCTGCAGCTGCAGCAGCAGCAGCTGCAGCCGCCGCAGCGGTGGCGGCGGCGGTGGTTCTTGTTGCGTTGTCGGGCTGAAACCGCTGGTAGGGGCGTGATCCTTCTAGCCGGCCCACTTGGAAGAGTAGCATCCTGGCTTTTTCCGCGCAAGCAGACACTGCACTGGCAGGGACCCTTCTCTCACAAACGTTGACGCTGACCAAAGTCATGCTTTGCTCTGAGGGCGTGGCCAGTTCTGGAGGGCTTGCAATTGATTGAGCGCTAGTTCATCCTCTGCGTGTTCAATGGCGAAACCTGATTTTTGGAGGGCACCTCTAAACCGCCGACCAGGCAAAGCGACCTGGCATGCTGAGTGCCGAGCAAACGCGCGAGGCCAGGGACCATCATCCTATGAGTTTTGTCATGTGCCCACCCAAAACATCGGACATAGAGCCAGCTTCAGGTGTTTCACACCTGGTATGATCCATCCACAAATGAAGAAAATGCGTTGCAAGGATACAAATCCCAATCCGCTTGGGCGTTGGGAGTCGCTAAAACGGCGACATGTGCAGACCTTCCGGCCAAAGGCCGGGTCTACTGGAGGCGAAGAAATTGCTGCGGAGCCTTTTCATGCTCACATACTCGGTTGGAACATGTTGCCTTTGGGTATTTGTATTGCGACGCTTGGCCGAACATGGGGAGGTAGCCAAGGGAATTTTGCCAAATGACCGGGAGCTGGCAGCTGGCTGCATGAGTCATGATGTGAGAGGACACCACGCTTGACCACAAGCTGATATTCGAGCCAAAACATGCGTGTTGATTAGGATGGATGTATCGGCCGGAGGCGCCCAAGCAGGCGACAGAGCCAAGGCAGCCACACCCAACCTCCAGCCCCTAACGAACCCAGTCCTCGCATGCCTATTGAGACTCATTCAAGCTTTCAGGATGAACGTTGCAACGAAGCATTCGGCTGATCTGACGGCCATGTCGAGCTCTTCAGATTCCAGCTCCTCCTCATCGGAGGAGGAGAAGAAAAAGAAGAAGAAGGACAAGAAGAAGGACAAAAAGAAAAGCAAAAAAAAGGAAAAGAAGAAAGGCAAGAAAAAGGACAAGAAGAAGAAGGACTCTCACATTCACCAGTCACCAAGCTCAAGACTCAACTTGATTTTTGCCTTGCGCACCCTGGCCCCAGGAGAAAAAGGAAAAGGACCCCTATTCCAAGAACGCCCAAGAGAAGGCGCGCTTGGAAGCACAACAGCGGCTCATGGGCATTGACACCAACAAGAAGCCGAAAAAGAAAACAAGAAAGAAGACCCTTGGCAAAATCCAGGCGTTTGCCCGTGGTTCACCTCGCTCCGATCGACCAAAGAGAGGTTCCTCAAATGTTTCTGGGGCTTCCATGTTAAAAAGGCAGCTGAACGCTTTAAGCGAAGGAGCTTCTGCGCCGCTCGTACGGGTCACCAGCCACCGATGTTTGATCCGGGACCCGGATCGCTGGGGACATGCCGTTTTTTCCATGCGCCAGGTCGATTAATTTGGAGGCATTCAAGGGGGGAGCAGTTGGCTTTGTTGATTTCCTGGTTGATATGGGTTGCCCATTTTCTAGGATCCGAGTCGCTTTCGGGGGCACCCAGAGAAAATGTCTGCCGAGCGGCCCAGGAAGTCGAGCTCCAGCGAAAGCTCGGAGGAGAAACTGCGAAAGCTGCAGGCAAGTTGTTGCGAGTCGGTGGGTGTTATTTGGCACCATCCCAAGTCTCCGACGAACCTTTAAGAAATGGAGGTCATGACCCAAATTAAAGGAACATGCAGGGGTCATGACCTTGTTTTTTGAAGATTTTGGTTTAGTGTCCTGGAAACTCCAGGTACGTCCCCCACCCATGTTGATTTATCCGCTTCATGGCGGGTTTTTTCGCGCCTCGGCTCTCACCCATGCTGGAAAACAGACTTGCTTGCGGCCTGGCTTCTTGATATTTTGTTCTGTGTCGCAAGGACCGCATCGAAGACCAGACGCTTCAAAGAGAGGCGGCAATGGCAGAGGAGGCGGAAAAGAATGCCGAGCCCATCCCCGAGAAGTCTTGGGAGGAGCGAGAGCTGCTTCCCTCATACGTTGACTGCGACTTGTCTTTCTGTCCCTCAATGGGGGGGAACCACCAAAATGGGAAGCTGTTCCCCAACAAGTAAGCAAACGTAAGAAGGATACCCACTTCAGAAAAGTGATCAGCCGCAAAAATAACTCGCTCGACTTCTCTCAAAGAAACCCCACAACACTCGCCACGGGTGCGAAGGAGATGACCTGGCCAGAGCGCGCGGCCCTTGCCGGCCAGAAGGCCGAAGCGGAGGCGATTTGGCTAGGCCAGGCCTTCACGGAACCGGGCCGGTGAAAGTCTGAATTTCGGGGACTTCAAAATGGGTTTTCGGTTTTGCGTCTTGCTTTCCCCTTAAATCCAAGAAGGGGTTCCTACCTTCGAGAAACATGTTTGCCGTTTGGGTTTCCTTCATTTTCCCGTCCAGTGCTCGATTTGTGGGTGGATTTAGCGTGTAAGAAAATGTCTTCCTGGTCATCGCCCAAGCAATGAAGCAAAGAATCTACGACGATCGCAAAAAGGTAGATCTCCCCAGAGACAGCTCCACTTGCTACGACTCTTGCGAACTTTGAAGGATCCGGAAAAACACTTTCCTAGATCCAAGTTCGTTTGAAAGCAAGCGCAATTTCGCCATGCCAGTAAGTAACAGGGGTGCGGAAGCTCAAATCCACCTGATATGCGGGCTAGATGGCAGGTTTTGTTTGATCATGACACAAGTTAGTTTATAGGACCCCACCACCCCATGCTGATGATTTCGGCCTATGTATGCCCTCCTAGCGCTTAGTCCACTTTGAAAGCGGGAAGAAGCAAGTTGTCCTAATACCACGGAGTAAGGTATTCTTCAAACAGATCCACTCACATGGCACCTGGCAAGGGGCCCCCCTCAAGAGTAAATTGATCTTCCAGGTACCCCCCTCAAGAGTTCATTCCCATTTCTCATTCCCCAATGTTGGCCCCGGATCAATACACCCCTGCTTATTGATATGGGGGTGTCGCTGGTTTTAGTGGCGATTTATCACTTTTGGAGGGGACCGCCGCCCATAGTACTAAACAGGGGTTTATGACTCCGGGGTCAACGTTCCCCGCAGTTTGATTCCCCATTCTTTTCGTCAAACCGGATCCGTTTTCCCTGGGCTTTGGCGGGTTTTCAGCAAGAAGGATCCCTGGAACTGGGCAGCATCCCCCCAGAAGTCTCCCCCGCCGTTCCTTCCGTTCCGTTCCGCGCCGCGGCCGAGTTCCGCCGGCCGCCATTAGGCGCTACAAAGGCGCAGGCGCGGGGCGCCGGGGGCAAGGCCAGCGAGCAGATCTTGATGCTGGCCGCTGAGGACGCCACCCGCTGAAGCCACAGGGGGGACGTAGGACCGTAGGACTGTGCTAATTTTTGGGGAGTTCGGTGAAAAATCGAGGGGTGACATCTGGTTTAGATGTTGTTTGCTTGCCCATCGCCGGGCTACTGATCGGTTTTTTATCCCTCCTCCAAAGGCCAGCAATGCAGGGGACATTCGTAAACCTTCGGAGGTCCGAATGACTCAAAAGGGGGGCAAGAAACCCCTTCAGCCACCATTATGAGTGATTTTGAACTCAAACATGTCCTTCAAAAGAAGCTTCATGGGGTGGTTATTTTAGGGGATAGGGGCATCCTGTACTCCTCCAAAAATTGTCGGAAGGAACCCGGTGTTTGCGTTGCTTTGAGCACGGATGTACTTTTTTGTGGTTCAATGGGTGTGGGGGAGACACGTTGACCTTGAAGTTCATTCCCGCAAGCACAGGGATGCTGACGTTGCCAAATTCCAATGTCGGATCCCCACAAGTTGTATGCTTCAGGTGCCGTAGGTGCCAACCGGACATCTCCTGCTCTCCACTACCGCGTTGAGAACCTGGCCTTGGGCTCCTCAATTTCAGACATGTTACTATCCTCTTGGATATTCCGATGCAATTGCTTGCCCGATTGCTAGAGCGCGGCTGGATATGAGGATGTAGCCAGTATCTCTTCAGCTTCTTGCTATCATCAACAGCTTTGTGCGGCGTGTTTTTGGGGCAGCTTGTCAGATGTCCTGGAAGTTCATACCGCGTTTGATTTGTGAATGCGTGTTCTTCTATTGATGAATTCGAGCAGCTGGTCGTGTTTGGTGTTTCCTTGTGGGGCTCACTTCTCCCCTTTTCTCTTTTTCTTTTGTTTAAGGAGGGTGTGTCCTTTTTAAATCAACGAGCAAGCCAAAGGTGTCCGTTTCTCCCATGGCCACGGGAGATTTGGGTACCTCTTAGGGAGCTATGGCGAGGGTTCCTCAAAAAGGGAACGGGCACTTGACAGCCCAGCGCCCTTTTTGGCTGCAGGACGGCGTCGTCGTTGATGGGGCCATGAAGCCGTATCCTGGCATTGATGGAAACAGGCATTGACCGCAGCGCCGTTCGCACCCTTCCCCTATCCAAATGAAAGGGCAGCTCGGGAGCCCGGAGTTGTCAATTGTCACCCCTGCAAGTCTTTCTGATACATCTAATTTCAAGACCACGCAAATTGACCCTGTGCGGCACCTGCCACACAAAAACGGACATGCCTGAAAAAGTTGACCAACTTGGCCCGGTGTCCGGAGTGTGCTACACAGCGGGCCGGCAACACTTTAGCACTGGCCAGGGCTGCGCCTCGGCTTTTCCGAGCCTCGTATGGGTCCTTCTGATTGTTCTGAATGCCGTTTGCTCCTGGAGACATTGCACTGCATGACTCAAAGATTCCAGAAAGCTCCCACCTTCCATACTGCAAGAAAGCTGAACCACGCCGCAAAAGAGCAATACGTAACACACACACACACACATACACATGTGCGTTTGTTTTTGCATGCCTCCCGGAAAGGAAAGGTGCATCCGGCAGGGGGTTTTGTTGGAGCCCTGGCAAATGACAAGGCTTGAAGCTTAGGCCTATGTTCGCTGTGATTGGCCCAGCCCTTTTCCAGCAAACATGTTGGGCTTAGCTGGAGTTTCAGGCGCCGAGCAGCTTGGTTCCGGGTTCTCTATATTTATATTTGCCTGGGCGATTTTGGCATCATCTTTGGCCGATGAAAGGTGTATTTATGTTTGGATCTTTGGGGCGATGCTGTTTGTCCCTCTGAGTGCCCCAAGTATGAGGCGTGCGCGCTTCAACGCGGCAACTGGCGCTGTCAGCCGCGGCTGAGGCTGAGCAGTTGCGATCGGCCCGCTGGCCGTAGATGGGATGATCATCCCTCTGAATTCGGAGGCTCTCCAGCCTCCAAGTGGTGAATGTGTTCTTTTGTTTTGGTCAGGTGATACCATGAAATTGACAGACACAAGCGGAAATGCATTTGAACGCTCGGATGTGGACTGCCGTGTCACAAGATGAGTCCCCGCCATGCATGTGCGAAGTGGAAGCTATGTCCATTTAGATTTAGAGCAGTGGGGGAATGCCCAGATGCTGCCAACGACAGCCGAGCTGATCAGTTCCATTGGCCAGAGATGAAGCGGCAGAGCAGCTGAAAGGTGCTTTTTGCAACGGTTCTGTCGTCGCACGGCAATTTCCGGACGCCGGCAGTTGGGAAGCTCGTTTTCAGCGCTTGATCCTGAACAACTTGCAGCTGATTTGGTTCACATCGCAAGGTAGTCGCAAAGGAAAGTTGCAGGAGCTTCGAGCTTTTGCTAAGAAGTCTGTTCGCGCCATGGAGGACCGGGATGAAGCCCTTGTTTTGTTTTTTTTTGGGGGGGTTGTTTGTGCTACAACAACCCCTGGAGTTGGTGGGTTTCGCCAGAAGTTTCTCCCAGTTCTTCCCGGGTTTCATCCCTCACCGGTTTGGTCCTTCCCAGGAGTTCAAGTCCAAGTTCCAGGCGGCCCTGGAGGAGCTGAATTTCAAGCAGCGCTGCAACCAGCTGGCCAAGCTTGGGAAGGACCGCCGCCGTTTGGGGGGGGCTGGTTCATCTCCAAATTTGAAAGATGTCTTTTGGTTCCTTTTTTTTTGGCTGGCTTGTAATTTAGAGTGGTTTGTGGTTCTTCTTCTGGTTTTGGTTTGCTGGCTTAGTTTTCACGTGGCTTTGATTGTGTGCAAGCACGCGGCAAGTGACTTTAGCGCGCACAAAAACGGGCGATTTCTCGTTTCAAAACGCACCCTCAAGAAAACACACACACAAACAGCACATATGTTTTTTACAATAAGCAGCTGACATCTCCAAATCCAACACTTTTCTGTAGGAGTGAGGCTTCCAGCTCAGAAATCACACTTGCTCGGTGCAAGCGCTGCATGCCAAGGGCGCTTCGGAAGCCCGGCGCACGTTACGGACTCGTTTCGGATTTGTGTTGGACTCGTTTCGATTTGTTGCCTTGCGCGCCCCCGCCTGGTTGCACGCACAGCGCTGACTAAGTCTTGATCTCGTTACATCTCGTTTCGCATGGTTTTCTTCAACACTTGCTCGTCAGGGGGACGTTTGTTTTTGGTTTCAGGGTCTTCTGGCAGTATCAATCAATCTATTGAATTCTCAGTGGCTTGGTCGTCGCTCATCAAGCAGTTCGTGTCATGTTGGCCCGGCGGACCCAAGAAGGGAACCTAACATCAGGTTTATGATGAAGTGGGCACATGGGGCTGTCTTTCTGCGTGTGCCCTTGCTTCAAAGACAAGCTGAAACCACAAGCAACCGGTTTGACAGTTTCATCTCCGATTTGGAGGTCGTTCCTTTCATTTCGAGCCTCAGACTTTCCGTTCTTCTTCAAGCCCACGGGCCGTGGGGTGCTTCCACGACTCACGTTTCAAAATTTTGCAAGTGCTGGAGGACAAAGAAACGTGACATCGACATCACAAAGCTTCCGCACATTTACCACAAACAGCTCCCTCTTGTGAAAACTTCCACATGCATCCGCCCGTGTGCACCATTGCAAGAATGCCTCCCCCACCCGCACGCACATGACACCTCCCAGGAGATTAAGGCGGCTCAGCCCGCCAAGGTCCAGGCGCAGATGTTTCGCCGGTTTCCCTTTCAGCGCGAAATGGGATGCGTTTGGGGAAGGGGTCCCTTTTTTCTTTAAAGTCAACCAACCCAAAAAGGGGTGCCTGTTTTTTCCCCATGGAAATTCACTGGGCATCTGAGCTCAAAAAACGAAGACACCCCTTGCGACGGAGCTCTTCCCGAGCTGCGCAGCTCGAGTTGATCCAAAGGCGCAAGTTGCAAACTGACCAGTTTGCCACTCGATTTTTCCGGTTGCCCTGAGATGAAGCCAACGATTCATACAAGTTCATGCTTAGGGGTTCATACCTGCCTAGACCCATTGATCAAGCTGTCCCGATCTGGGTTAACGGATTTGGTCAGATTCGGCTCGAGAGATGTTTGGTTCGTGGGTTAGTGTTGTTGAACGCAGTAGACCACTTCCGCCCATGTTTCTACACGGGATTGGCCACAAACGAGTCCAAACTCGTTCTTTGCCACTAAAATGGTCCAAAAAGCATAAAGTCCAGGAATTCGGAAGTGAGTTGAAACTAAACCATTGATGTAGTAGTAGTGCCCTAGGGGCTTAAAAGCTGAATCCCCCCAAACTTCTGCAACAAGGGCTATTTCACAAAGTCTGCCTGCTGATTGAGCGGGTTGGGCCCATAAAAAAGTAGCTGGCTCAAAGAACGGCCTGGCCAATGATAAACCCTGCAACAGCGGCCGCAAATATCAGGCACGGGCAAAGGAAACCAGTTCAATAACCAGTTCAAGCCAACATGCAGTTGCGAGAAACTGCAACCGGCCAGTCGAGCGGAAGTGAGTGAAGCAAGCCCAGTGTTCGGTTCGCCTTTCCTCGCGAGTCTGCCAGCCGAGCCGTGAGGAGATTCTGGATAGCCTGCTGCCGGAGGTTGACCAAGCCAGTGCCGGCGTGAAGGAGGCACTTCGCGTATTTGGGTTGTTTGGGTATGGGTCAAAATAAAACACCAGAAAACCGTTTTTAGTCGGGTTTCATTTTGAGTACCTATTTTTGACCCACTGGCTTTTCGTGCCTGGCAGGTCAAATCCTGCGTTTGTCAAAGTTCAAATTGCTAGCAGCACCCTCCGACTGCTGCCCAATCGGCAGTAGACAGAAGCTGCATTTTTTAAAATGGGGATACCCATGACCATGGCTCACAAGTGACAGCGTGTGAGTGAGGAGCGGAGGCACGCAAGTTCTACGTTCTACGATGACACGAGAATGACACGCAAGCGATGCAAGTTGTGCGCGGGCAGCAGAGGAGACTCAAGCAGAGGGCACGCGCAGGGTGGATTGGGCAAGTGTTTTGAAATACGCTCCACATGGCTTTTTGTTTTTCATCATGCAATCGAGCGCTTAAAAGGACGCCCCGCATCGCCAGCATCACTTGTCATCACCTACTCACAACCGCGAGTCACTTGCATGTCACCTGCGTGTCAACATGTCAGAGTAACAGATGATCGCCGCAAGCAACAGTAGTTTCACCGTGTCACTGCGTGTCACCCGTGTGTCACGTGCGTGTCACCACGTGTCAATGCGTGACACTGCCACGTGTCAATGCCACTGCGTGTCACTGGCATGTCGCCGTGTGCCATTAGGCGCGGCGTGTTGCTGCATGTGAATTCACCTCTCACCCGACGCGACGTTTATGTGCGGGTCACTTCAGTCTCAGGGGCATATGGCTGGTTCGATCACCTGCGCAACGCATTTAGCGTTGTTTGACGTTTGCAACCAGGTTGCGTTTGCCGCTGCAATTGGTGTTCAGCCACCCGTTTTGTTTAGAGCTTGCCCGGGCTTGCCCGCCCGCGGCCAGGATGTCGGGGTATGTTGCTTTGGCTAACTACTGCCTCTTTTTGTTTTTGTTGGCGGAACTATGTATACTGCCAGATGAACGGTAGTCACGCGAATAGAATAACAAATGTAGTTGGAGGGTGCTGCTAGGTGACTAATGCGCGAAAGGGATGTCCATCCTTTGGTGTTCCGTGAGAACAAGAACAAAAAGGGCGCCCGGTGATTTCCCTCCATAGAGTCGAGCAAAATCCTTCCGAGTTTCAACTTTGGATTTGTTTCCTCGGCCTTGGTGCAGTTTGAGGGGAAAGGGCTGGACCACTTCAGACGAGCACGTTCTTTATTCCGGCGAAGCCCTGGTTCGATAGACAGATGCGTGTGAACCCAATAAGCAGTCAAAAGTCTTGCAGTCATAGGTGTCCTTTTTAGGTTAGTTTGATTAAACATAGATGGCGGTTTAGGTGGGGTTTCATCCAAAAGGCCACCTATGCTTGCAGTATTGCCACAAGTTTAAGTTGGCACTTCCGGCGCTTCAGCGCCAGTGCTCAACGCCAGGCCTTTACAGAGAGGGCCCGCCTGATCGTTGCGAAAGCGGCTGGGTGCCAAGGCGCGGGACAGAGTCACAGCTGTGCGAAGGTTTCGCCCCCGAAAGCCTCGCCCCCTTTCCACAGGAGGTGAGCCGCTCGAGCCAGTGAGCTGTTGGGTGCTTCCTTCGTGCTGTCTTTGCGCAGACGGCCGACTGGATTCATATGAGACATTTTGAAAGTTGAGGCGTGTGATTTTAGAGGGGACGCAATGCACTTGAACTTGAGACTAGTGATTGTTGTTTCTTTTGCCCTCCGCCCCTCCCCCTCCAAGTGCAGCAAATCAATCTTTTGGAGCGTCCTCCTGGAACCACCCCCTAATTTCGAGCATTTTTTCAGGTGAAAAACAATCAGTCAACCAAGTTTGGCAACCTTGTCGGAAAATAGCATTGGTGAGGGACTCGGGGGGTGGAGAAGGTTAGCATTAATTAGGGTGGTTTACCAATTGGGTGCACGCATTTCCATCCCCCTCATTTTCGAACATGTCACGTGGCTTGGCTCATGGGAGTTTCATGAGACCCATGGACAGGCCGCATGCTTAGTGGCAATAACATCGCACGCACGAACAAACACACACAGACACACATACACCCCTAGTCCCTTCATTCGCGAGTGTCAAAATGGCAAGACCAGATCCAAAAAAGGAATCATCGACTTTAATGAATGGGTTTCCTTTCAATCCAAGCTCAAAGGGTAAGTACCCGGTCCCCCCCCCCTCAGAAAAGAACAACGACAAGCCGAAACACGAACAACAATCCAGTTCACCAGCCCACTATGGATGCACAAAATCCTACACCACTTTGAAACCATGGTTGAAACCATAGTTTGTTTGGTATTTCCGGGCATTTGAAGTGATCCGTCATGAATTTCCTCCACCAGTAGCTCCCACTCCCCCCTTCAGAAAAAAACAAAAAAAAGACAAGCCCCCCTCCACAAAAAAAAAAAACGACAACCCCCGCCCAGCTCCAACAGCGAACGCAGGCTACGCCAAGAAGCTGCTGGACTCCCCTTCAAAGACCGTGGGCTTCTCTGCGGCGACGGGCGGACTTCTCAAGCCCCAGGATGCGCGGGCGGCCTTTCTCTCCAGTGGCTTCGGCGGCATATTTTCTTTTTTATGTGTTTTTTTCCTCATTTTTTTTATGTTTTCCGGGACACTTCGGGACTCCTCGGTGAGGATTTGTGTTGTTAAAGGCGACAAACGGGCCGAAGTTGTGTTTTGTGGTTGTTTGGTTTGTTTGGGGATTGGTCGAAGTATGTCGAAGTAACGTGTTGTTTGTTGAACCCCAAGCGGACTGCTTGTTTGGGGATATCAGTATAAGCCAACATGTGCTTGAAATGGTGAAGGACTAGCTGGGCCGATTTCAGGGGTGAAACTGATCGGTCAAAAGGCAGGCTGGTTGGACCAAACGTGTCCCTTGGGGCGTCGGCCGGGGATCGAAGGGCCGCCCTTGGAGGCTGAAGCGGTAGGCTTCCCGGTCTCAGGCTCTGCTGATGGGAAACCTGAACCAAGCGCAGTTCAGGGTCAAAAGTCAAACATCGACATCTACCCATCCACCCATCCACCCATCCACCCGTCCATCCATTTATCCATCCATCCATCCATCCATCCATCCAACCAACCCCCCCCCATCCATCCATCCATCCATCCATCCAACCAACACCCCCCCCATACATCCATCCGTGCATCCATCCACCCGGTTCATCTTAGCGAGGATTCAGAGGAACCCCCCCAGCTGGGGATAAGATGACTCAGGCGGCAATGTGATGCTCAAACGCGCGTTCAAGCAGGCTCGCGAGCCCCTAAATGCAAGGGAGGGGGGGACCTCCAACACAACGGTGCCTCCCTCCACCCACAATCTCGAACTCCAACAACATGTTGACCGGTCCGGTGATTTGTTTAGGCGACACCAGCCGCAAGATGAAGAAGTTCCTCTTGCAGTGCGACTCCTTGGAGTCCGACAAAGAGGTTTTGGAGCACGCCTTTGAGCTCTTTGGCGCCCCGGCATCCCATGTGTTTTTTGTTTGTTTGTATGTTGTGTTGTTTTTTTCTGCGAGCCACGCGGTTAAAACCATGGACCATGAAGGCCAAGGTCCTTTACCTGATCCCTTTAAAGGTTCTCCGGGTTGGGAGAAGGACTGTTTGGCCTAGAGTGGGGTACCACTAAAGAACAATAATGTCGAACCGGGATAACACATCACCCTGGCAGAAGGACAGAGGGAGATGTGTTTTCTCCGCAAAACGTGAAGGAGTGTCTTTGAACTGGGACCCGCTTATTCAACAACCAGGGCTTCGCTAATCAGGTTTCCCTTTAGCTCCCCTTTTGTTACAACACAAGAAATACCTGAGTTTGCCAAGGAAAGGTCATGCTTGACTTGGCTCCAAAAGGAAATCTGACCACCCATAGGGGCATGGCTTGCACCTCCAAATGAGCTTCAGAGAAACCCGCTGGTTGTGAACCCCGAGACGGGCACCAAGCTGCAAAAAAAAGAGGCAGGCACAGAGCCACACCCGTTTCTTGGAGTGGGGTACCGGGTACCGTCTTCTGCCTTCGGATTTTCGGCACCGCTGATCTGTTGGCCCCTGAGTTGTATCATGCAGGGTATAAGGTATAAGCCAAGCTGACATGTTTGACTGAGCATCTAGTTTTTGGTCGGTCGAATTTCCCGGGCGCGCTCGGAACTTCCCGGGCCTCAAGAATTTTGGGTTTGGTCAGGTGAGAAGGACAAGGAGCAGTTCTGGCCGCTCCTCGCACGCTCCAAGTCAGAGGAGAAGTTGCCATAGATGGTTCCGGGCTCCAAACACGGGGGTGGAGGGAGGGGGGGACGGACTGGGAACCATGGGGGGGGGCACTTGCGAACCCTTGACCAGATATGGGCGTATCTTCCTTTAAGGGCCCTCTTTTCGGTGGTTAAAAAAGCATGCATCTCCCTATGTAACCCCTGAGTGTTGGGTGTCGGGCCCTTACGATCGTGGCATGTTTTTGCTGGCCAGGAAGGTCCTGTGGTTCTGGGCCTGGCTTTTTTCCCATACCTGACCCTGCTATAGAATGTGAGACCCTGTTTTACACCTACGGTTTACGGTCCTCAAGCCATGTATTTATATTGTATACATCCCCTCAAAAAAAGTAAAGCAAACGGTCACTGGGCCCTTGATCCTCTTTAGTCTGGATGTTTCGAGGGACACTTTAATGTCAAGCTTTGTTGGCCAGGTGTGACATCCCGAGATCAACGCCTCAGTCTACACTTCAAGGGGCAGTTTGTTTGAGAGTAAGTCTTGGCAATACTTAGTCGAGAATCGACACTACTAAACTGAACTATTCGCAAGTCCTGTCCAACCTAGACCCCGTTTCTTCTGACTAAAGAGGCCCAAGTGATGTTCAGGGGGCCCCGTCATGCGGAGGAGCTTCTGGAAGAGTACCTCGAGGAGGACAAGCCGATGAGAGATTGGCTCAGCGCCAAGCACAGCGACAAGGCGAGGCGTCAGGTCACCCGTCGATGAAGCTGGGAGGGGTGCCTGACTAGGTCCCCCCAGTAATCCCTTTTACCCTTTCTTGTTTTGGGGGAGGGTCGCCTGCTAAAACAGAAAAAAGGGCCCATTCAGCGCTCATTCTGCCAGAGCTGAAGCTCAAACCCTCTGAGCGTGTGGAAAATGCGGGTTGCAGGGCCACCTTCTGCGGTATGAAGGCATGCCTTCCCTTGAAAGTGATTGAACAGTGGTGCCGATGGCCCGTTTTGTTATCACTGGCAAGTACAAAGAGATGGCCTTTTCCACAAGCACGCCCCGGCCTGAATGACATGCGAGCTATTGGCCGCTTCCAGTGCCCGAGCAGTGTGGCCAGGCGAGTTGCCTCACCACCCTCCCATGGTTGCACAGAAGCCGACTTTTTGTTGGGAGTACTGGTTCTGTGCACCATGCTTGGTCTGCCTTCAGTCAGGCCGATCCCTGCAGGTGCCCGGCCTGCCGCAGCTGGCACGCAGGTTCCCCGCCTTCATGGTGAAGCTGGTCACCAACGGCGCGCTGAGGTGGCGCTGGTACTGGGTCACAGAGATCCTCGAGCAGGACAGCTGGAGCTGAGCTTTGGGCCTGAGAAACGACGATTCCATCCCCATGGAATTGGGGGAGGGGTGATTTCGACCCCTGGATATCTCCAAGTCCGGTTTCATTTTCCTCTTTATGGGGAAGACTTCTCAGGGTGGATGACTGCCATGGCGGCATGCCAAAGAAAAGGTAGCGCTCAGGTGGCTTGGTGGCTCCCAGCCATCCCCTTAGCTTTTTAGCCTTTTCGTGTTTGGTGCTAAAAGTTCGTCACTTTTAGCATCTGAAAACGGGCAGCCCAGACGGGTTTCGTCGGACGCAGGTGTCCATTCGAATACCCCAGGACCCCATGCCGGTTCTTCGGGCCACGCTGGTGGAGATGCACACCCAGGGCTCTGGGCCAAAGGCGGGCTACTGCCCCAGCAAGAAGAACCAGGACATGCGTCAAAAATGGGAAGGGACCAGGCCCCGGGCTTTCCAGCAATTTCCACAACCAGGGCAACCCATTTTTGGGTTACCGATTGACCCAAGACCCAAGGGAGTTGGACCGCGAAAACGGGGATTTCTGGGTAACCCTGTTGGTTTCCCTTGGTTCGCAAAAGGCACCGAGCCAATCAACAAACCAACAAACAACAAACGCAATCACACAAAAAAAACACCGACCATACAACAGCACCGCACAACAGCAAGCAAACAAGAACAAACAACCCAGAACACGCAAACCAGCCAGCAATAAAGCAAGCAAACAAGCAAGCAAACAAGCCCACACACACACACACATCAATCTGTGTGCAAGTTGCGGCATACCATGTCAATGCCCCCCTTGCAAAGTCGGACAGCATCAGCTCCGCGCCAGTTCCCCAGCGCTTTGCTGAAGCCATCACCGCCAAGGAAACAAGAGCGGTATGTTAACTGCGGATCAATCGGGAGGAGGACCTGCTATCCAGATTCGTACAGATGTCCACTCCGACACAGCTACCGTCTCCGCGCCGTTAAACATAATCCAGACAACTGGCAACAGAGCCAAACATTCAAACAACCTAGCAACCTACAAACACGCTGTCCCGAAGCTAAAAACAGAAATGCCGGAAATGCGTACATGTCTGCTTTTCTTTGTGTTGTTTGGGGGTTGCGCGTGGGCTCATATGCTTGCCGTGTTGGGATGTGTTGTACATGCTGTACATCCCCCCCTGTTCGAGGCTGCTTTGTTTGGCGATTTGGGCATGTTTGTTCTTCAGTTCGAACATGGCTTGCGCACGGGCTTGGTCGTTTGGTCGACCTCAGGACTCTTTGTGGCCTTTGGCTACTGTAGTCATGTCATGGTTGAGGCCGTTCAAAGTCTGTCCGGGGATAGGGGAACATGCACAGAACCATGCACCATGCAACTGAGAACCACTACGATGAATCGCCAACCAAAAGCCAGCAGCCAACCAAGAAGTGACCCCAGCGACGCGCGCCGCTCGAGGATTTCTTCTCCACCTTGGCGCACTGGGGTTGGCGCCGGAAGCCCGAGATGATGCTGCAGCTGGTGGAGGAGATGACCCACAAGGGCACGAGCTTCGGCGAAGGGAAATCGATGCCGGCGGTTTTCCGAATCCAAGGGCTTACAGTAAGCATTGGCATTTCTCCCAAAGAAGCGCCGAAGAAGATGGTCATAGATGGTCTATTGTCCGGTTTGTCCGGAGCCTTCACTTGAGACTGCCTGCCACTGGTGACTCGTTGCTGTTTGGAGGATTTGGGGTTGGAATGGCCCGAGCTGGGCTGGTTGGGCTTGTGACGCTGAGGGGGCCCTAGCAGAACCTAGGACAAAGATTTGTTTGGCAGGATGGCTCTTCATTGCCACGATCGACATACTGGTTTTCGCGGTGAAAACATACAGCAACACACAAATGGTTTATGGAGTTTATGAACACCTAGTTCGAGAGGCCTTTTGGGAAGTATCCCTTGGATTTGCCAGCTTTGCTTGAATTTGCGCTAGTCTGGAACTCGTTGAAGCAATTCTCTCTGCGGCACGTCCTTTGGATCCTTTTCGGGTTTCTTGTCAGTGCCCGGCCATGTCTTTTAGGGGGTGGAGAGGTAGCGGGAACAAAACTTGCCACGGCAAAGCAACATTCGCCGCCAGACAAGGCCCTGCGAGTCCTGCCTTGATCATGTGTTGCCGTTCGGAGAGGAAACACATTTGGAGGGGTTATCAAAATTACGTTTGCGTGTCGGTGGTTTCCTCTAAGCCGCCATCAGGGTAATTTTGAGAATGTTACTTGAACGGACGCCTGAAAAGGAGCAGTTGGCGGATTTTCGAGGATCCCCCCGGAAATTCAGTCGATGGAACTCAACAAGACGGCATCCCGATAAGAAAAACACATAAATATATATATATATATATATATTATTTAAACCCGGACGGGCTTCTTCCCTTGAGCTTGGCGAGTCAAACGGTGTTGGAAGAATTGAGGGGTCCACCTCCGGGCACAATGCCACACGTAGCCGAACTTTCTTTTGTGCGAGACGGCCTTAGGGGTGGGTGCTCCACATGGACGTCATGATGTGCTAGCTTTAGAGTCGCCATTTTTCGGGTTCCCAAAAAAAGCCAAAGGGAATCCAATGATCAAAACATAGGGAAACTATATGCTATGCATGGGATGACCTTGAGAAACCACAAAAAAAAACATCCCCCTTGCTTTTCCCCAAACCGAGGACAGGAAGCGGAGGGCAGTATGTCAGCAAGGGCCGAGGCAAAGGCATGGTGCTGATGAAGGGCGCTGGAAGGGGCCGAGGCCGAGGCACAGGCGGAGGCCGAGCGGGGGAAAATGTGTAAAACTCGGACGGGCAATCCGGAGATTTTTTCCTGGGGCCGACAAACAGAAATTGGCGCGAAGCCCATTGGTCCAAGGAATCCATATTTATGGTCTCGGGGTTGGTTGAAGGGAAGTTGTCAGTTACACATTCCCAAGTCCGTAAATGAGGTACTTGGACGAGGGATGGCAGAGGGAAACCGAAGAATGGGTACTATTTTTGAGTTGATACCGATTTCCTGTGGTCAGCTGTCAGGGAACCCCGGCTTCCAGCTTCCATGTTGCAACAAGCGATGAGATGCAGTCATCTTTGGTATCGCTTTCCTTGCCGTGTGAGAACACAACATGGGTGTGGCTCAAAATTCAACTGGAGGGGTTGCGGGTGTTGGTCCATTTTTCCGCTTAACAGGGTTCCATTTTAAATTTGGTACCAGTTGTTTGACCCACAGCCACATGTGAGCACAACGGGATGGCGGGACGTGTTCCGCGATGCTGGGCGCCCTGGGGACGTAACAACCCGCACTCATGGCCGCAGTGCATGCATTCCACAGTGGCGCTCTTTGCCGTGTCTTTCCTGCCTTTCGGATAATTGTGACATTGGAGCTATCACCTGCAAGCTGCAAGACGTTGTTCGGCCCAATCCGATTTCGAGATGTTTTGTCGGCTCTATATCGTAGGAAGTTTCGAAGGATTTAGGCGCAGGCAACTCGAGCTCTGGGAGAGCTGCCAGCTACCGTTTTGTGCGGTTCCTTCCAGGAAGGCAGGCCAACCACCCTTTTACCAAAGATTGCTAGAATGGTGATGAGGAGTTCGTGTACTACAATGGCCCGGACTTGTACGTGTTCCTTGGAGGCTAATTTGTTTTGGTTGGTTTTGAAAGGAAGCGCAAAGGACACCAACCCATTTTGGGGGGGTCCCTGATTGTTGGGGACAAAAGCCACAGGAGTGGTTGGTTCGCTGCTTCGCCTTGTGGCTCTTGTCGCTACAGGCGACAAGGACGCGCTGCCGGGGGTGGACCAGGTCATCCGCCTGGGGGGCGAGATCATGTCGACGCACTCCACACGTCATGCCCTCACGGTGAACAAGAAGATCGCGCTGTTGATGAAGAAGCCTGGGCTGGATGGGTCCAGCTGTCAGTCGTTGCATCTCCGAATAGGGGTGTAGACGTCACTTCCAGTTGCTCCAGTTTGGTTGCTTCTTCAGATGTAAATCACAGAAAAAGCAGGTGCTGCCAGTCGGCTTTTCCCAGGGCTGAGTCAAAATGCCTACCCAACAACGGACTGGCTCGGAGCGATGGCCCTAGAACTTCCAGCTCGATTTTGCCGTGCAGACAAATGGAACGGAAACCCCTCCTTCCAACCACCAGTCAGAGGGAAGCTGAGACTTGGAGCCTTGGAGCCCTCCCTCCCAAAGTCGGGGCCAGCGGCGGACGCGCGACCAAGGATTTGGGCGGTGCTGCCACAGGGCCACAAGAAGGCCAGCGTGGCTCAGCGGCCTCTCGGCAACCATTGGGACCATTGGGGGGGGGTTCGTCTTGAGGGGGCGGTACTCGTTGCGAAGGGAAGGCCGGCCAGGTGGGGAAGCCGTTCCAAAGGGCTGGTACCCTTTGCGGGTTTGACGGGCTCAATGGTGAGCTTCCGGTAGCCAAAATGCTCGTTCGGGCCCAGTCCAAGCCCAACCCCGTTCTACCAGGGTCACTGCGCAGCTGGGTTTGGGGGAGTCCTAAGAGCCACGAACCATCGTGTATCACTTTGGACTTTGGAGGCATGAAAGCAACACGGAGGTCCAATCAGCTCTAATGATGAGTACGGCGCGTGCTTGCTTTTACACGTTCTGGGGCAGTGCGTGTGTACATGCAAGAAGCTTTGTGCGCATGGGATGCGTTTTTGGTGATCCTTCCTTTGATTCGGATTGCTGCATTTGGGATAATTCTGCTCGAAGTCGGGAGTCGGGTGCCCACCACGCATTTCCAGTTTTGTCACGCAGCGAGACGCTGAGAGGTTTGCAGATCTGCTGCCGAGCTTCGCATTGGATGACCATCGCCAGAACGAGATCACGAATCTGATCAACGCATTTTGGACGATCCTGTCTGACGTAGGCGCCTGGGCACGCAGAAGTCCCTTGGGGTGAGCCCTTCCACCGCCATTCACTCAGCGCAAGTTGTGGTTGGGTGAAATTAGGCGGGAGCAGCCTTCCCAGGGTTTCACCTTTCATACTTGTATAATCTTCTGCTTGCTCCATTCTGTTTCTCATTGTGTTTTTGCGGTTTTCTCCTTCTTTCCCCTCCCTAGGGTCCCAAAGACCCTATATATGAAGGTCTTTGTTCAAAGAACTGCACCGGAGTCCTTCGAGGCAAAAGACCTTGAATTTTAGGGTCTTGGATGCGAAAGGCGCCCTTAACGGTGTTTTCCGAAAAGACCTTGATTTTTGAGGTCTTTAGAAATCCAACCTGCTTTTGGGCAACCCATGGTCAAATTAAGGATGCTGGACGAGCATTTCAGTAGAACACTACTTATTCTACAAAGCAAGCTGTTTGTTGCAGCTACATGTGTTGTAATAATTCAGCCAGCCAAGCAGAAAAAGCAACGCACGACCCTTTCTTTGATGTAGCTGAATGATGGTCGAGCCAGAATACAAGGCAAAACAGACATGCAAATGTCCAAGCAAATCAATTTAGGGCAAGATGTCAAAAGCGGTCCTGGAAAACGCTCCCGAAATCTTTGCCGTGTCAAACCCATAATCAGGTGTTTGGACCCGTTCTCTTTGTTAATGAAGACTACATGGCTTTCCAGAACGCGGATCGTACCTGCTAGACCAGGATACCTTACATTTCTCCCTCCAAACGATTCAGTAGCATCAATTTACATGAAACATGGAAACATGTCCTTCCTGTCAGTTGGACAGAGCCAAAGAAAACATGCATATTGCCACTTCACAGCTGGAATACACATTATTTATTATTCCTCAATTTGCCAAGAGACCGAATGTCGTAAGCCAAAAGGTACTTACCCAGTTGCCCCGGTTAGTCACCAGGCACAAGGAACGTTCCATGTACTATTCTAGGCGTGCCGCGTGACCATGCACATATGAGTCTGAACATTCCGTCACTATGTCTGACCGAAGGCCTGCAAAACAACAGTTTTGTCTCGACCTATTGGCACTCACACCCAGCAAATATTCGAAGAAAAATAGAGAATCGTGATGCTAGTGTGTCATTATATATATATATAGCATTGGCTTTGTTTGTTGCTCGGACTACAGCACCTTCAATTCTACCTTCTGATTGCAGTGGACGAGCATAGAAAAATCCCTCATCTCAGCCTCTCAGCTGGGGAGTGTACGTTTTCTGCACATGGCTAGCGATTGTTTATGAAGAACAAAGCATAAGAGCCGTGACAAACAACCGCTGCCACTCAAATGCAAAGAGGCTGCAGGTGGGTTTGGGTGCTGCTCGATATCTTTGCTTTGCGTTTGCGCAGCTGGTAACCCTTCATTTGGATATCAAACGCCATAGGCCTCTGCTTGTACGTATCGCCATGGCCCAGGAGTGCTCTCAGTTTAGACCTTCAGTGGTAGGAAGAAAGCTACTTGTCGCTGTACTGCCCTGCATAAGATAGAGCAATAACCCCTGCACAAATGATTAAATATCCATGATACAACTTCTAGCCCGCCTCTCCTCATACTTAGGTCTCCGTCGGTTTCCTTCAAGTTGCCCAGCCGTTGATATTGATCAATCGCGCGCGTCTTGCCATATTGCATGTGTTGCGACGTATTCTGTGTCCAAAGTCCATTGGCGGTAAACATAGTTCATTATGCATCCAAGGCCGTCGTTTGTGTTACTCGAGTATGCCTTCCCTGTACCGAAGACTGCCAGCGCATATGATAATCCTGTCTGGAAAGCGGGTGAGCTATCGGCTTCAAATTGGCTAGGTAGCGCCCTATCGGTGGTTCCCTGGCAGCAGAACTTGAGAACCCTATTAGTGACACGTTTGGCAAATAGCAGAAGAAAAACACAATCCAATAAGAAATGCTCTGATCAACTCGAGGGACGTGGGTTATTTGCACGGCGGAATCAAACTATTTGCTATCGGAAGGCCTACTTCCATCGAGTTTAATAGCGCCCTTTTGCCTAGAACCACCCTATCACCCTTAAGTCTTAGCGAAGTGATTTCGCACTATAATTAAGCCCTATCGATATTGTGCCTCAGCCAACTAACGCAGTGTGAGTCGTGTTCTTGAAGCCCGAGTCTTGCTTGGTACACTGTTTGGCACCACTGAAGCTTTTCATGCACAATACCGCGAGCTTGCCCAGCTTCTGCTCGGCAGAGTGCCCTTGACAGCCACAAGTTAACCTGACGCAAGCGCGAAACAGCTTTCGATATGTTCAGAAGAAAGTCTTCTAGACAGTCAACCCTTGCTCAAAATCTCGAGCGATGAGGCTTTGTTCATCGTGATGCATCAAAATGACCTACCCTGCATCGCATGAAGCAAGCCTAAACTCGCATGATGTTGTGCTCGGCTACCATTGCAGGATCCAGCACTTAAGTCTGCCCATATATTGATGGACAGGAGGAATGCTGATGGCTTTGTGCAGCTTGCAAACTGGGCTGTAGACTGGGCCGTGCTATTGGGCTGAATCGATTTGCCTTGTCTACAGAACTCTCCGCAAATCCTTCCACGATAGCTGCGACTCAGCTGCGTGATTTCGAGTGATTTAACGTGAATTTGCGTGACAATTGGGACAAAAGACCTGCATATACAGGTCTTGCGTGATTTCGCGTGAAAACAAGTTATTTTGCGTGATTCTGCTATTGAACAGTAAAACTACGCCTTTTGTGGCAGAGGCTGGGCGTGGCAGACAATGTTTTTTCCTTGACTCTGAGCTGCACACCCTGGTGGAGAAGGGGGGGTTGCATGGTCAAGCCATCAAGGAATTTGGGGTGGCAATGATTTGGGACGCGGGCTTGGCATTGTGTAGCGTGGCTTCGTTCCTTGTTCAGTAAGACCTGATTTAAACGAGAACCCGGCATAGTCCATAGCCCAGTTTGCAAGCTGCACAAAGCCATCAGCATTCCACCTGTCCATCAGTATATGGGCAGACTTACGTGCTGGACCCTGCAATGGCAGCCAAGCACAACATGCGAGTTTAGGCTTGCTTCATGCGATGCAGGGCAGGTCATTTTGATGCATGACGATGAACAAGGCCTCATCGTCAAGGAAAGTTGTTTTGCGCTTGCGTCAGGTCAGCTTGTGGCTGTCAAAGGCACTCTGGCGAGCAGAAGCTGGGCTAGCCCGAGATATGACGCATGAAAAGTCTCTCAAGCTTTGACGTGGTGCGAAGCACAGCACGAAGCAAGGCAAGGGCACCAATGGCAAGAGCGCGACTCACACTGCATTATTTGTTTGCAGCGCCGAAAGCGCAATGCCACTCACCCTGTCACCGTCATCCCTTTTAAATGCAAATGCTAAAACACATACATTGTTCAGCAGCGTCAATGAACAGGTAATGTACAAGTGCTGCCCAGTAAAACGGCGCTGTCAAAGCCCAATGACGTAGACTCTCTTTCCAAACACACAAAGGATGCAAACACGACTATGCATGACTGCTGTGCAGAAATTATGGACCTCTGTATCATAAGCATCCGCGTATGTTACGCGCGTTGTAACCGGGTCCTTTTTTGGACGGTGGCTTTCATACTTTCATACTGTTGAATCCCGAAGTAGCTTTCTTCTCTAAAACTCTACTTGGCGAGGCTGTTGGCTATTATTTGACGTGGGGGCGAATGTCAGCGTGCTTTGTCCTTTGGTGTTTGAACGGCTGCTGCTGCTGCTGCTGCTCTTATGAACTGGTCAACGCAAGGGGCATATGCAAAGTTGAAAAACAGTCAGCTGTAACCGTGCTTCAATCGCTGGTTTAACATCAAAGTCGCTTAGAGCAATTCTTGAAGCAGTGGCTTTGCCATGGTTTAAATGCTTAAATTTCAGAATGCACCCTAGCACGGGCTAGAACACACCTGATTGTGAGAACGGGTTGATTAGGGTCGCCGCGTTCGGTTCTACACTGCCAACTTCAGTTTTATTTGTTTCGGATGTTGTTGTTTTCGACGGGGCTTATTTTCTATAGTGTATATACCACCAAGCTTATAACTTTCCTGACTCCGCGAGTCAAGATCAATGCGTCAACCCGATAGGCACAGTAGGCGTGATCTCTCCGCCAGTTACGCTTACGGACGCCCTGCTCAAGCCTTCGCAAGTATCCGAAAGCTTGCCGAGCCACTGTTTCGATAAGCATACTAGAATCGGTTGTATCAATCATGTTTGGAACTTATTTATTCGTACTTAGCTTATCCAGCAACTTGTAATGCCAGGGCCTCACTCATGCTTGCGCATGCCGGTGAATCCTGGATAGCTGATTTAGCTTAACGAGCGTTGTGGCATTGTGCGGGTTCGATTGAGTAACAATGCTGGTGTACATGTTTACTACTAGCTACTAGGCGTTTCCTGGAAAGTATGAACAAACTAGTATTTTATGTTGAGGCTCCTTGTGGCTGGTTCTGGTCCATGGCCTTTGCCTGGCTGACCCTGGAGCACTTGCGCGAGCTATGCCGTTACATTGTGCATATTTTTTGGAATCATTGAAGCTTGAACATTTAAATGGCAGGATTTGCCACGATTCTAGGTCCCGCCATCCGCCAGTGAGCAAGTTACGCGGTCTCCACCTTCCCAAGGCAAAAGACTCAGGTTTTGGCAATTTGTGTGGGTCTTGGTTTTGAGCGCGCTGATCTGTTATGATTTAATACTTTGTCAATTGCAGTACTTAGATTGTTCCGATGGAGAGTCGCAAAACATGCCGCGTAGACTTCTGGACGTGCGTATGAGGCAAGCATTCTGTAGGTAGGTGCTGTATTGTGTTTCCTTAGCAGTCCTGACAATGGCACACAGTGTTTGAGCCCTCGAGGCGCAAATAAGGCGACAAATGTAAGACCTGGCCATAAGATATGCACAGTGGACGCTTACACATGTCCAATACAGTCGGCATGTGTGCTGTTTATGCATGGGTCGTTGGCCATACCTAGGACTGTCCGAAACGAAAGACCTCAATTTTTGAGGTCTCGGGTTCGGTTCCTGATAATCCGTGGGTTTGCCAAGACCTTAAATATAATGCACTTGGGACCCTAGGGCCTTGAGAATCTGTAAGCCTTCAGCCTGCTTCGACAATTTTGTGCCCAGCGCCAAGGCCGCTCCGATCGGCAAGAGCTGCTGGTGGGGCCATTGGTGGCCACGGGTGGGCCCAACTCCGAGAAGAAGCCCACGGGCTGCACGGAATTTCTGAAGCTCTTCACCAGGCGGGGGTGTTGCGCCACATCCGGGTAGAAACCGGCAGGCTCAGACGAGCCAAAGTCGAAAGCGGGGTAGTGAAGGTTAGTAAGGGACAGGTCCTGCCAGAATTAGATCCTAGGTGCGGCCGCCGTTGTACTTGTAGTGCTTTAGGTTGGTTTGGGTAGACCATTTTAATGCCAGGTGTTGATTATGGCTCAGATGGAGGTTCTGGGATAGTTCCAACCATGATGAAAGGTCCTTTACTTGGGGATCCCTTAAATCAGCTTTTGGATTAGTAAAAATTGCAGACAGGTACAGCCGGTCTTTTGCATTGACATGCCTTTGGGTACACCAGTGAAGTACCTTGTTTTGACCATGACTCACCTGGGGATGCTGGAGCCCAGAATGCGGTGACGGAGAACGGGACCGACTATTTAGAGGGAAATCTTGGACCTGACTTCCATGGACCCAGGAATGGCTAATCATTTGGTCCCACGATCATGCTCACTGTGGTCTGTATAGTAGATGGGTGCCCGGGGGGGGGGGGCACAGTTGGCGCCTTCGGGCGTCCGGATGCGTGCGGATGCGTACGGATGCGTACGAGTCTCCTTGCGAGTTTGCGCCATCCACGTTCCGCGTTGCCAGGCGCTTGCCCCCACCCCTGGCAGTGGAACAGTTCTTCAAGGTGCTCGGGGAGTTTGAGGCAGGCGAAACAGAACCCATCTGTCTTGGTGGGTGTGAAGTTGATTTTTGGCGGCAACCTCGAGAAGACAACGGCGCGAGTTGTGTTTTTTCCGTATCACCTGGGGGCCGGCCTGGACAGCATTGCAATTGTATACCTTCAGGGTCGCAGGCATCCGAAGCTTCATGGAAAGTCAAGCCGCGCAGTTGTCCTGAGACAAAGCACTTGGGAGCATTTCTGGCTCGGACCCCACAAACTTGGAAGAACGAACTGCTGGCAAGGTCAAAAGCAATGGATTCTGGAGAGCTGCTAGGCGTAACCAAGCTACTGTGCGCATCTTCTGGTCGTTTTTGTGCGCTTCCGGGCTCTTAAAATTATTGCTCTTGCGGCTGTTTCCTTTTTGGGGTCTGTCACTTGGAGGTAGTATGTCAGTCGCCGTTGTGTGTGTGTGTGTGTTGTGCCATTGTGCCAGGCTGGAACTCCTGCATACAAGTTCATCCAAAGCGACATCTGCAAGTCGAGCAACGGCCGCCATGACGCCAAGCAGCGTGTGGCCAACTCATGTTTCGGAGATTTAGGGGTCGGACCCTGAGAGTTGTTGGTTCCAAGGTTGCTACCATCCCTTCCACTATGGCACCTGACAGGGAAATGGTCCCTCCAAGTGGAACTTGGTCTTCCAAGAACTCTCCCACAGTTGTTATGTCAGTGGGAGAGAGCACGTTCTAAGCCAAGTTCTACCCGGCATTCAAGAGCAGCCGCACCTTGATTGGGGCCCCCAGTCCTCAAGCCTCAAGTAGTGCATTTCCTTTGTGCAACTCTTGGGAGGGGGGGGGGTTCTCTTCAAAACATCAACCAATCAACGCGGTGCCACATGGGCGGTGCCTTTCTTGTCCCATGTGGGATGTGCCGGTTTTTGCCCGGCCAGCGAACGGTTGAGCCCGAGGACGAGCTCATGAAGAGCGTCTTCAAGAAGTATCTGCTGAAGGAGGACGAGGCGGAAGTACTCCGGTGCCGTTTTTTTTTTTTTAAGGGCCAAAGGGCCATCAAGTGGCTCCCGGAACCTCAAAAAGTCAGGGTATCCTCATGAGAAAACACATGCTTGGAAGCTTTGGTTTTTGGGGTAGCTTTCCGTGATGCCAAGGCATGCGGCATGAGTGACCAAGCAGTCAAGGATGGTGATACCACTTTGAAAGGGGCTGTTTCCTACACCATGCATAGGCATGGGCGAATATTTCGGGTTGTGTTGTTTCATCCCATTTTCAGGGTTCCCTTGTTGGTTTCATCCAAGAAACCACACTTGTTTTTTTTGTTTTGGCGGGGGGGAGGGGGGTTCCCTTTTTGGTTTCAGGCTGTGAAGGGAATCCAAGAAACCACACCTTTGTTTTCTTTTCTATTTTTTTTGGGGGGGGAGGGGAGAGGGTTCCCCGATTTTGACACCTGATTTTCGCCCTGCCAGGGCCCAGTGAAAGCGGCGGAGATGTTCAAGGTGCTGCTGGCAGATGCGCGGTCCAGGGATGTGATCCAGACCTCCTTCGACACCCTCACCGAGCACTTGGAAGGCGCAAGCGACCGCGCGCGCATGTCGTCTTGCGCACTCACCCGGGGTCGGCGGAAATATGTCGCTGGGTTTTGAGCATCACCCGTTTTGGGCCCCTTTAAGGATCCCCCCAGGAGGGCTGAGGTTCCAAAGGGGAGTGCTGGGGACCGTTCCACTGCGCTGGCAAAAGGCTGCAGGGCAGTGCTGACCAGCGCGATTTACAGAACCAACACGTTAGTAAGCACTTTGTTCTGCGGATGGAATGGTTCTCCACAGGATATTCGGAGATCGGGCTGCTGCAGACGGTGGTTCAGAAAATGGGCACCTTGGCATGCGTTTGGACCTGGGGATTGGTAGATACCCGGGGTCCTACTTCCACAGGCAACCTGGAGCTGGAAATGCTGCAGGGAGGTCGCCAAGGGAGCCACCGGGTCAGTTCAACATACAAGGGAGTGGAGGGATGTCGCTGGATTTGGTCCAAGCATCATCCTATTTTGCTCAGTCCAGGACCCTGAGAGTCCCCGGCTTGCGGTTCATGTACGTGTTTTTTTCTTTTTTTCTTCTCCAGCTTCACCGGAGAAAGTTCGGCTGACGTCCTTTGAAAAAGAAGCTGAGGCAGCCTGGAGAAGCAGAGCAGGCAGAAGGGGACCCGGGAGATCACGCCCGAGGCGGAAAGGGAAATCGGTATCGGGCGATGAAACAAAAAATCACACCAGCGCGGCGGGGGTCTTTTTTCAACCCAAAAAGGGCGGTTTTCCTTTTGGGGTCCATCTGTAGCCGGCCAAAAAGAGGTTCCCCCAAGACCCCTTGCAACTTGTGGCTAGGGATGGTCATGGTAAAGATGCACTCAGGTTCAAAGCGAATCGACCAGATCGATCTGAGCCCAAGGATCCCGTTTTGGGCAACTGAGCACATGTTCATGGCAGGTCGCTAGGATTTCACAGGGTGCCCGGACTTATTGATTTCAGGTGGGTAAATTAGTGCATACCTGGCCAGACACACCCGCAGCTTGCTTCGCATGAGAAAGGTCTGGGGTTTTGGCCGCCCTCCGAGCGCCAAGTCGCCACTCCTCGCAGGCCTCGTTGCCGGTGCCCATCGATTGGCTGCAGTTCCTGAAGCTGCAGGAAGAAGCGGTGCCCCACGTCCAGTTCCTGCTGATGGCGCTTCGGCAAGAGACGTTTTATGCATATATAGATATGTATGTATATATATATATATATATGTATATATAGACGTGTGTTCCTTGGTTTTTGGGTCAGCCCCTGAGTTTCCTTGGATTTTAAATACTTGTGGGAAGACCATGGGATACAAGTGTGTGTTCCTTGACTTTTGGCACTCACTCCCGGAGTTTCTTAGACTTTAAAACTTGTTGGGAAGGCCAGTTTAGTAGTAAAACGATTCGGAGTTTTTGTGTGGGGGGCATCCACTCAGGAAGTGCGTGGTTTCTGGAATTGGTACCTTCTTCACCTTTGTTAGGGCCTCCTGTTCTGACACACACCCATGTCTGTGAGAAGCATTGAAGGTGGACTTGGGACATTTTTAGTCGGGCAACGCAACATTTTTCGAAGCCTCGCTTTTCCATGTGGCCAGACATGTTCATAGCCGTGCCAGTGTTGAACAGCTGGCACGGAGATGGAGGTAGAGGTTCCTGAGATGAGGCCTCAAGTTAGGAGGCTGGTGGTAGCTAGGATATGTTTGCGAAGGAAAGACTTAGGTTAAACCCACCATTCGCCGCGCCTAGCCCAAGACCGTAGGTCGTAGGTGTCCTTTTGGGCGATGTTGGTTGATCATCAGCGGCCCTGGTCTTAATTTGGTTCCGAGTGTTCCCACGTCGCTTTTCAAAGGAGACATCGTGGGACCCCGTTTTTCCATCCACCAAACTATTTTAAGGTACAACGGAGGTCGAAAAACGGGAGTTTGTGGTTGGCAAAACAGGGTCCCCCGACGCCTGAGACTGGGTTCCAAGATTTCTGTGGGTCTCCCTGTGCTCGCTTCAGGTGCTGCACACGGGCATCGGGGAGTCGGAGCTGCTGGGGTCCATGATCACCAAGTTCGGGAAGGCCTGGCAGGAGTCACTGAACCAAAAAATCCTTTGAAAGATGACCAAATCTGTACACCTTTTTTGGTGTTGGTTTCAAAGGGGACATCTCAAGGGTGGAAAATGGGTGATTGTAAAGGTTCTTTGCTTTTGCCACCAAATGGCTAGGCCTTTTTCCAGTGACTTCTGGGCAACCCTGACCCGCGAATGAGTCCCCGCACGAGTTGCTGCACCTCGTGTCACGGACTTCCTACTTCAAAAGTGCAAATGGGTGTGTCTTTAAATAAACACCCCGCCTGAAATGGCTCGTTTCCATAGTTTGCGATTTGTCCAGGCATGGCATCTTACTCGCTGTATACTCACTATACGGCCAAGGTCTCGAGTTTCCCCGTAAAACCACCCAAAGGGGTCTCAAGAGAGAGAGCGAGAGTGAGAGAGAGAGAGAGAGACAGAGCTTGCCAGATCTTCTTCTGGGATTGCCTTGGACACGTCCTGTCTGCAGCTCAAGGCAAGCTGGTGGAGCAGGCGCGGCAGCTAGAGAAGGGTCCTGTTGAATGAAGTAGTATGTTTAGAGCTTGGTTGCTAAGAATATGTTCTGAATCCTTCTGGGTGTACAGGTTTTGGATTAGACTTGGGGATCCCACAATTTTGAGCAACCCAGTCAAAGTGTTCATAGTCAACTCACTCTGCTTGACAGCGGTTGCGCGGTTGAAGCACTGGTCATTGCGAAACGGCCGCAATTGTGTGGCCCGCACGCGAGATTGCAATCTCGGCGAAGGCGATCCCAGCGCCAGTTCTGGGCGTGCTGCAGGGCTTGAACGTGAAAGTCATGGAGGCGGGGCACCAAAGGAGGCCTTCCGCTGGAAGGGAACCCACGGGCCCCGGGGCCCAGTCTGCAAAAACCATTTTGTGGGTCTTGTTCAAAAAACCAAAAGGACACGGTTTGTTCCCCAACAGGGAAGTGGAGGAAACCCAGTCAAACAAACACAAGGACACGGTTTGTTCCATTTTTGGACTGGTTTCCGTAAGTGCACCTTTTAGAGGTTCCACACAGAGGAAGCCCGGAGAGCCCAAAAAGGACGCGGGGGTTTCCCCTTCGGCAGGAAGCGGACAAGAAGGCGAAGGCGGTCACCGGCGTGGCCGCCAGTGGCAAGAAGCGCGCCTCCAAGGGCTCCTTCGGCGTGGGCTCCGCGATCTTCGGCCTGGATGGCGCTTTGGCCTCGTTTCGGATTGGCCGACGGATGCTTCAGGTGTTGTTTTTTGCCTCTAAAAATGGAAGGAGGTTCTCACGTGCCGTCTTTTTGCTAAGAATGGATGAGGTTTCAACGATGTTCATCGGTTTTTGGCTAAACCATGGATTAGTTTCCGTGGAGAATGGGCCACTGCGTTGGACTGGGCCACTGGGTTTGTGTCCAAATAGGCGGTTTGCGGATGCGGTGAACTGGGTCTGGGCGAGTAAACTTCATCTGGACCAGCTTGCCTGAAGTCCTGGTCCGTTTTAGGGTAAGGTTGGCCCTGGATTGATACGCCGGCTTTATTCAAAGGAAATTTAGTACTGGCGCTAAGTGAAGCGGATGGATGGGATTCCCCGGAAAAATGGGTTTTATGCCAATGGCATGGGTTTTTGAGCGTCCGAAAGGGCTCATCAGGGTCTCCACCCAAGGGTTTGGAGCATAGCGGCCTGAGCTGGAAAATGGATGGACTAGTGGACACCCGAATCAGCCAATCTAACCAATCAAAAGGAGAACCCCCGGGTTTAGAAATAGAACCTCGTCCTTTTGATCGGTTAGTATGGATAGAAATAGATGGGTCCCACTGGCGGTTGGTAGGGAAGCCTATCTAGTTTCCAAAAGGTCACCTATGGAACTGGGTCAAGGCGTGCGCTGCTGGAAAACATTTCTCACTTCGGATTTCTTTTGTGCTGCTGGCGCAAATTCCACTCAGGCAAGGAGATTTGAAGGGAGTCCAAAATTAGCAATTCGGTCATGATTTAGAGGGCAATTCAAGTTGAGGATGTCACTTAGATGGCCCCATTGAAGCTACCAGAATGGTCCGCTTCCCCAGTTTTCTCACGGCCTGAGGCACCAAATGGGGATCAGTTGTGGCGGATGAAGGTCGGGCGCCGCTTGGACGCGTCAGGGGTCGAGTGGGGTTCTAGTGAGTCTTACCCTACCCACGAACCTGGAAGGCGATGTTGCCAGACGATATCGGACGCCCTTTGGCAGCCGATGTTGGAAAGGGATGGAAAGGGGGGGTTTCTGTGCACCAAACCATGTTTGGTGGGAGGGTGACAGGGGCTGAGGACCAGGCAATGAAATGCCCAGATGTTCCGGATTGGAGACACAGGGCATCCACCAGGTTTTCCAAGCCGAGCATCATCACGGCTTTGCTTGTTTTGCGTGCTTGTGGGTCACGGCGCTGAACCCTGGAGAGGTGTGTTGGGCTGATTTTCGGCGCCGGCGTTTAGCCTGAGGTGGAAGTTGGACAGTGGTCGCATTGCCAAGAAGGAGACGGAGGGCGACAAGTGGACCTGGGCAGGTGGAGTTAGCACCAAAGGCGCGCGGCCCCAGGGTGGGTACTTACTTCTCGAGTGCCTGGACTTTATACTTTCTGGGAAGAGCATTTGGTGGTACACAGCAAGTTTGAACTTGATTGGGCCACTCAGGAAGTGTGACTGCCGCTTCCCAAAGCGATTTCAAGTGGGCAGTTTACAGGGGACCGAAGTCCAACTGGACTTATTCGTTTGGGAGAAATGCAGCGGGCATGGGTGTAGCCAGGTGCCGCAGCCCAGCATAGCCAGCCATCAAACAACTGCCACTATGATTGATGGATTTGGTGCGCAAGTTTTCGGAGTCAGTCGTACTCATGGCCTGGCATGGAACTTGGATCTTTCATTCCGAACGCTCCCTGATGATGATGGCGATGATGATGGTGGTGATGATGAGTCTTGCCTCGGCCCATGGCTGTCAGGCGACGAGGGTGCCTGCAAGTACTTCCAAACTGTGGCCGACATGAAGAAGAAGGCCAACGTGAAGGACCCTAGCAACTCGGCGCAACAGGCCCTACTACAAGAAAGCGTTTCCGTACCGGTTTCCAGGCACGCCAACTTGTAGGGATCCCTTTTGCAAGCATACCCACCCAAACAACCCAACTGGTTGTGCGTGGCCGTTTTTGGGATTTCCTTAAAGGGTTCATGTGGTGAGGTCTTTTGGGCCTAACTTTTGCATGCCGTCCGAGGTGCGCGGCTGTCAGGCAGGAACCGCAAAGGGCAAGGGTTGGAAGCAGGGTGGCGTTCTCTCCCCGTGCAAGCCACGCCCATGTGAAGAACATGGTTTTGCAGAGGCTCACTTAAACGGACTGGATATCCCCCTTTGGATTTCCCGTAAAGAATGGGGACGGAGTGACGGGGGGGTCACGCCTCTGCTACTCTGAAAGCGGACAGCGTTTGTACGGATCCCTGTAGGTTTTAGTTGGAATTTTGCAGCTGCAATACATGGCTTTGGCCCACAACCATTTAGGAGACAGAGCTGGGACAGAAATAGCCCGGAACAGCTATGGTCAAGGCCAGGCGCACATGTCGCGCGCATTGGATCCAACAAGCCAAGGCTTTGATCTAACTTTTGCAGCATGTCCTTTGACCCATTGAGTCACACTGTTTGACAGCCTGCTGCCCTTCTTTTGCTATCACGAAGGCGCAGTTATGAACATTGAGAATGCCTCCTTGCTTGGCCCCGCAACTTTCCACAGCTCTAGCACTCAATTGAAAGCTCTTTTGAGTGCCAAGTGTTTTTCACGAGAAGGCAATGTTTGACTCTCAAGATGCGAGAGCTCAGGGTATGGTGCTTGAGAATTGAAGTAGTGAAGGAAATCTCGACAAATAAGATACTAGATGATACTAGATGTTTGATTAGCATGTCGACATTTTCCCCATGGTTTGTCTTTTGGGGCCTTGGGTCCTTTGACAAGTTCTTGGCCAAGCGTGTTGGTCACTGCCAGGCTACTCGGATCTTATGACCCTCGCGCAAAAGGCGCGAGAGTTGCCGACCAAGTAAAGAACTGGATAAATCTTGTCCCTTGTATTTGTCTTGCATTCTTTTTCTTGGGTAATACTTGGGCACAGCTCACGCAACGCGGATGGCACTAGCACACATCGATGCGAGTACTTCTTCCCTGTTGGCGCTTCCTTGCCCGTCCACCCCAACCAAAAGCAACACGGCACATGCGTTAGAGGCAAGCAACAAGAGGCATGTTCTCAGTATCCGGCTGGGACTCAGCTCACATCAGGTAAATCGAGCAACATAATTGCGCAGGATATGGTTTAAAATAGCTCGAGCAGAGTCATTCCTAGAAGCTTTTGCTGCCTCACCCAGGTTCACCATGTTGACCCCTGCCCCTGCGCCACATGCGCGCAAACTTGCACTGCTTGCGAGATTTGTGGCTTGGGAGTGTCAGGGCGTCAAAACATCAGTGCGCGTGATGACAAGTCGTCAGCTACTGAAATTGTATGCTTTGAATATGCTAGGCTTCATCTTCCATTTGGTTAAGAATATTGTTATTTTTCCCTGTTGGTTTTAAAGGGAATCTATCACTACTCGAAATATTGTTTTTTGTTTTTCCCAGGGGACTTAATCAAATGGAGGTCATTCACATGGCGCCACGTTGGCTATATCCCGAGACATCCCACCTGAAGTGCGAGGAGAAGGACGCGGGCAAAGCCTTTGAAGACTTGTTGCCGTTCCTGCTGTCCCGCTTCAATGCTGAGCAAGAACAAGGACGCTCACACATCCTCTCTGAGCTCTTTGTGGGCAAGAAGCTGCCAGATGACCTGTGGGAGGACGGATCACTTGGCCCCCCTCCCTGAGTTCCTGGAAATTATTTTGCCGGTTCTCAGCAGAGAATGAAATGGAATGCCCCTGAAATGGCTCATCCCCGAAGAAATCATTCCCAACACCCTGGATCATTCCCTACTGAGCACCAGCAAGTTATACTTTGTCTCACTTCCTGAGTTCCAGGACTTTAAGCTTTTTAGGAAGACTGTTGTAATGTGGCAAACAAAAGCTTGAACCTTTTTGCCCCATCCACTCAGGAAGAGTACAAACACCGAGTTTGGATTTTGGGCCAATCCACTCGTTCGGAAGTGAGGCACAGAGAGCCCTCAGTGCGAACTCACATGTTCAGTGGACACGGGACTCTGAGAATCGCTGCTCTCGGGCATGTTGAGAATGACTGCGACGTGCCTTTCCGAATGCTGACCTCCAAACTTCTGGTGTGGTCCAATCGGCACTCTGGGGCCCCTTTGTCGACACTTCATCCCAACCCATGCCTCCTTCCGGGTGCTCCTTGGGTATGCTTGAGGGGCCTCGCGACCTCGGTGGGGCCACAGAACCCCCAAGTTGAGGACAAGCTGGAGCATCTCCGGAACTTCTGGAAAGTCAGCAGCAAAGCGCGGGAGAGTTCGAGCTACCAATGCACCTGGAACAAGTGCGGCCGCCAGCTGGTGGAGAATGCTTTGAAGTGCCTTGGTCCTCGTTTTGTTGGGGGGTGGGCGACGTTTGCCTGCCTAGAAAACCGTGAAGCATATTAAGCCGACTCCTTTCAAACCCATGGTCCAGGTTGTGGGAGGTTGGGGGGTAGTGGACACCATCTTGCTAACGCAATGTATGACAATGTAGAAGTAGGTGGTATATACCTGCTTGACCCAGCTGGAGGGTAAATCTAGATAGATATTGCAAGCATGGACATGGAGTGGTTGGGTTAAAAAAGGCGCAAGCTCGTGCGACCCCTCAAAGTGTCCCTCCAAAATTGTTGTTTCAACTGGTTCCCCACTTACAAGTAAGTACTTCTAAGAACTACAAGCACCTTAGCAAAGCCCAAATTTGGGCGTGGCTTGGAGAACACCCCGCAAAACTTGCTGGTGTTCAGTCAGGAATGCCTCACCGTTTTGAGAATGAACCTAGGGATCCGCAAGGAAACCAATTCGGGCATGGTTTATGTCGGGGGGATTCCCTGCCTCACTCCATGTTATCGAGGCAAACGTTGGTTTCCCTTTGAAACCAACCAGGGCAGTTTCCATAAGTAAAGTTGACACAACTACTTGATCGCATATTGACTTTGAGGGGTGGGTTGGTGCTGATGTCAATGGGAACCAACGGCGCGGGAAGAGTTTGATTGTGCAGTCGCCGGCTTCGGCGGTTTGAGGAACTGGGGGAAGCCCATCAAAGACGGCGAGGAGGCGCCGCCCTACCCCACCGAAGCGTGCCTCTTCGGCCTGGAGGTGGTCTCGGAAATCGACCTCCCCGAGCTCCTGGTGACTTTCGGCGGAGGTGGTGGAAGGTAGCAGGTGGAATATGAGGATATGCGTAGGGCCATGTTGAGAAGGATTTGTTGGTGGAAATCAAATTTATTAATATTGGGGACGCCTTGGTAGGAACATTTTGAGAGGGGAGTTGTTGGTGGAAGCCAAAAGGAAGCCCAACATTCTTGTGGGGGACTGAGGGAACCGCCCGAAGAATCCAACCAGGGCAACCAATCAAAAGTTGTTTTGGGGTTGTTTGAAAGGTATTCGCCTCAGCTGACAAAATGAATGGTAGTCGATCGTTAGTCCTCGGAGGACGAGAATTCGATGCTTTTGTTGGCTTCGGCTTGGGATCAATTGCTTGACCCGCAGAATCCGTTCGAAGGGAGCTGGCCCGGAGGGGGAAACCTTGACAGCAGACATGAAAGAGGGAGAGAAGGAAACAGAGGAGCGCCATGGGCGTCCAAGAATGCACAAGTTCTGACTCAGGCTCATGAATCAGTGACAGACGTGGTTTGCGTGATGCGGATTTATGTTGCGACCTAGACTCTTCTTTCTATGCCATTGTCACTGGCACCAGGATGAGGAGACTGCTGGGCTGCGCAATCACAGGTGGTTGCATTGAGGCCCTCTCAGCCCCAGCAAGAATGCAGATTTGATATTTTATTAGTTTTAACTCGGCTGAATAATTCGTTGGGTCAATCTCACACTAAAGAACCGCATTTTAAGATGGATTAAGTTTAGATGCAAACCAAGTGTGAAGCTATTTTAGCGCCCCTGATTTTCTGCCATGGTTCACCTATTGTAGTGGCGCCCACTGCAGGGGAGGATTTTGGGATCCCTTCATTTTGAACAATGCTGATTTTGAGACCCCAAAGCAGCGGCCACATATGGCGAAACACCTGCCTGGTCGGTTGGAAGGTTGCAACATGTTGAGACCGAATGCTCAAAATGCGATTGACTGAGGAAGAGCCATTCCAAGATCGAGACCCTCAAGGCTGCTCGGCCATCGTTGAACGCAAGGGCCTCCCCTGCACTCTTTTGGGCTTTGTTTCCAAGATGCGTCAGACTCAGAAACCAGAATTGGCTGTTGTTTTGTTGTCATGGGTGCTAAATAGCAACCATTGTTACGTTACCCAAACAGAAGCCAAAAGGGGATGGGCCAAAGGCCACTATTGGCTGTTTTGGGCCTTTAAAGAGCTACTCTGGGACTCATGCTGGCTGTGTTTGTGGGGGTCAGAGTCCGATTCCTCGGTTTAGCTTTCACCCACGGGTGACGGGGTGACGGGTGACGTCTCAGTTGGTGCGTCCGCGTCCGATTTCGTAGGACCTGGAGAACGCCACGCGCTGGGCGCTCGAGACGGCCGTGCCGCTGAGCGGAGAGCAGTCGGCGCCCCTGGAGGACGATGACCGGGTCTAAGGCCATGAGAACGCTACCATCTCTCTGCATTTGCTTAAGAATATTTGTGTGATATCCCCTTCTTTGTTTTAGTAAGGGAATCCATCACAACTGGACATATGCTTATGTGTTCCAGGGGGCGAAAACGCAAATGGAAGTCTCACTTCCTGAGGAGGACAGCACCAGGCCCTGTTTCATTTTACGTTCAACCACAGGCATGTGCTTTGTTCGAGTCCAACCACCATACTGGGGTCTCCATTTAAAGTGGAACTTGTGGCTAAATACGGGTCAGAATCTGAGAATCGCTTTTGCTGTCCGCTTTTTGGGGCCGCATTTATCGGGAACCAGGAGGTTGCAACCAAACAGGTGGTGAAACATTCCAATCCTGGAGGATTTCTGGAAGGCTCTGAAGACCATGAGCACCATCAAGCGACTCGGCCGACTCGGCCCGAATGAAAAATAATGAACTGTTTTTTGTTTCTGGTCATGCCCTGAAATGGGGGGTTTGCGGACACCAATTGAACTCACTCGTTTTGTGGGTTCTCTTTGAAGGTTTCCAAAAGTTAAAGGAACTCGACACCTTTGTGATTTCAGTGTCTCAGAAGCCCTGACTTTGGAAAGTTCCTGAGTTCCGGACAGGTTCCCAGGAGGTCTTGGTGGAATTACGCATCTGGCCATATATATATATATATACTACTTCTGCCTGAAGTCAAAACAGCAGGCAGCGAAATGAAGGCTGCAACAGGTTTCGCAAGGCGTGTTAGAAAAACTGGAGGTTGTGTTGTGGATCACTATGCTGGTCCGCGAAACGAAGTGTCCGCGAATGCGGGGCCAGGCTTCGCCATGGCTTCGTTTGTCACTAGCACTCCGGTCACTTCCTGCCAGGGGGCGGTTGCGTTGCTGCGCTGAGGTTCTGCGGGGAGGATCCAGATGCAATCACGTCCTGGCGAACGGAGAAGTCCGTCAAGGACCAGCATGAGAATTGGAATGACCCTTAGAAACCCCCAAAAAGAACATCCCTTAAGGGGACCCCTTGGGTTCATTCCCACATTCCGTACTGAGCACCAGCCAGACCCATTTTTTCGAGAAATGGCATGCCACTCGGACAAAGTTGCATTTGGGCTTCCCCAGTGTTGCTTGGCCTTTGGGGCTAAGCAAGCACCGCAATGATCCCAACCATTGATAGTCAGCTAGCAACTGGATTCAGACATTTCGCGGCATAGCCGCATGAAGTTGGTTCAGCCTAGCGTGGGTTCAGCCTGTCGTGCGGCCGCATGAAGTTGGCGCTCTGAAATCTGTAGTCCTGCTGCATGGCCTACAGAGCTCCTTGCTTTGGGGTGGTTCATAGCTTCAACCGCTGATCGAAACCAAGAGAACACGTGTCATCCCATAGCATCGTGGATGAGTTTGCATTGTTTGCCAGCTTACCCGGTGTTTCAATCAAGAATCAAAATCTCTCCCCTAAGGACATTTTCAACTCAGGTGTGTGAAATTTCAATCAGTGCGGATTGGTTTGTGGCTTGCTGACAGCGCAGGCGTATATCTCGCATTGTTCGCATAAGGTAGCAGCAACGTGACCTCTTAGCGCCACTGGAAGGGGTCCATTTGGTCACGCCACCGTGTGACGATGACATCGACCCTTCGGTTTGGCCGACTGCCAGGCGCACAAGGAGAAGTCCAGCACGTCCCCGGAGGTGTCCGTCATGGAGCCAGGCGATGTTCGGTCCAAAATTGCCGGTCCAAATTGCTCAAATCGCCCATGGTGCTTGGAGGGTGGGCGCTTTCTCGAGAGTTTGTCGGAAGTGGTTCTCAAATTTGTACATGCAGCAGCGAATTTGGACAGGGAAGCCCAAAGCCCTGAGAATGGCAAGCGCGCAAGCGCGCGCCATCCTCGTGTCAACCCTCCTTCACCTAGAACCGGTTGTTTCAATGAATGGGGATAGTCCACTACTTGGCCAAGAATCCATTCCGACATGTTTGCACCGGAGCGGGGCCACATCGTGGCAGCCTCGCCGGTCCGTCAGAAGGATTTGTTTGTTAGGGTGTCCCTGGTGTGTTGTTGTTCTTGGCGTGTCTTGCTTCTGTGCGGCTTTGTTGTGCTGCGGCCATGTCCTTGATTTGTCTTCTTTACTTGATTTGTTTCCTTGCTCCCAATTGCTTTGCTTTGCTTTGCTTGGCTTTCATCCGGGGGATCGCTTCTCATTTGACCACCGCATGCATCCCACGCTCAGCAGGTGCATGGATGCATGGACTTCGAACCAAGGGCATTTGTCAAAGGACATACGGAAGCCTTGTGGCATGCCGCGCATGTAGCTATGCGGTCTAGTAGCGGTGTCCCGGTGTCCCCGCTGGGTGGTGGCGTCCCCGCGGTGCTGTTGTTATTGGGTTTGTCGCGTTGCTTTTGGGAACCCGAGGCAACTACCAATAGTTGTTTTTTTGCCGGGAGGTTTGGGGGGGGGGGTCCAGCATTTTGAAGCCACACAAGTCAGCAGTGGCACGTGGCAACGGTAGGCTCCGTGGTACGGGGCGTGCAACGCGGCAACTGGCTGGAGCTGATCAACGGTCAGGGCTTCATGCTCATCACGTCGGACCTCTGGCAATCTCCATGAATGGGTTCACAAGCGGGAGTCCCTTTTTGGCTCACTTCCCGAGTTCCTGGACGTTCAAACTTTTTGGGAAGACCAGTTTGGTGGCACTGACAAAGGTCTGCACTTGTTTTGGGGCCATCCACTCATGAAGCGAGTTGGATAGTTTTGAAGGGCAATTTGCTGAGCGCGCGACTTGGAGATTGGCAAGCGCAAGGTGTCCAGACCAAGTGGACTCCCCACTCTCATAAAGCCCTCTTGAACAGCAATTTTCTTTTATGGTGTGCGATAGCTTCGCCAGGCTGAACTGCACGTCCCTTACCCCAAAAAAAACATGTGGCTGTTTCCGGTCGCTCTCCCTTTGGTTTCCGCATAGTACCAGGTAGGTTTCGGGACCCCCCCCCCCCGGCTCCCGGCTTCCGGGCGGAGGAGAAGACCGGCCTTCCCATCATGAAGCAGGATTCCGGGAACACCGGGGAGAAGGGCCTGTGGGAGACGCAACTTGGCGATGAGCGGGCTGCTTCGAATGGTTCGAAGCTCGAAGAACGATTAAAAAATAGGCTCCAGAAAACGGTCCCCAATCAAAATCCAGGCCCGGCCGACCATGCGGACAATTTCAATCAGGTTGCAGGGAAACGTAGCGGAAGGTTTTGATGTGTGGCTGCGCTTGGACCGACAAGGCTGCAACAAAAGGATGCTGGCTATGTGCATCCAGAATGAGAAATTGCAAGCTGCAGGGCGATCAAATTGGACAGAATGATCTGCAGAAGGCAGCTCATGAGCCGGTCAGGTGGGACGGTGAGACTCTTCTGGCTTTTCTCAAGCACAGCAGGTTAGTCAGTCAGTCAGAATTTGGGTGCTCAATGAGCCAATGTTTTTTCTTCCTTTGTTTTCCCCGCAAAAGGAAAGCAACAAATGGACGAGTTATTGTTTGAATGTTTCTAGACCTTCCTTTTAGCACCCAGGATGCAGTTTCGCCATTTGCTCATGGGGCCTAGGTATCCCTTCGTCAGTGAATGGTGGCGCAAGCACCTTGGATTTGGCCTTCGCCGTCGCTGCGCTTTTGCCCCAATGTGCTTGAGATCCTGCACGTAGTCCGTTTAAGCTTGTTTGTTTCAGACACAGATGGCTGGCACTGGCTTCAGTTTGGTTCTCGTGCTGTGCCGCATTTTGTCCAAACGCACACCTAACATCCCAGGCTTTTGCAAACCTTCCCCCCAATCTCTTCGTGCATGGTTTTCTGAATCCCCACCCCATTACAAGTGGAAAGGGGGGGGCCCTGGAATTCCATTGGTTCCATTTTCCGAGGTTGCTGGCTGGAGGGGTCAAGCAGAAGGCCATTGACTTCGTCTTCGTGGGAGTGCTGAACCTCCTGGCTGATCGTCAGCAGTGCCTCGATCCGCTGCAAAGCAAGCGCGAGAGAGGTGGGTGCGGGGTTATTTCCGCCCCTCAAGTCTCAAGTACTATTTGGAGGTGCATACCTTCCATTAAGGTTCCTTACCCATGCAGGGGGGATGAGATACTAGCACATTTTTTGTGAGGTGGTGGGGGGGGTCATTGCCCGTGGTAAGAAACATTCTGAAGGGATCTGCCCGATGAAGCGCGTCTTCCAGGCTACGCCAACGGCCAGACGTCGTTTATATGTCCATGTTTTGAACGTGGGACTTTGCCGCGTATGGAATTGCATTGAGGCACTTTGTGGCCGGAGACAAGAAGTTGTCCAAGAGATGGTGGGCGCCTGTGGAGTGCGAAGAGTACAAGGACAGCTTTTGGTCACCGAATCCCCTTACCAGAGCTTTTGTTTAAAGGCTGAAGCCCAGGACGTTCCAATTTCACTTTTGTGGGGATCACCGCCGGCGCCGCCGCTCTTAAAAACACTAACCTTGTTCCCCGACAGTTGCCAGCAAGCCCCTGCAATCTGTCGCAAGAACACGAAGCCGCACGCTTCCCATATCCCGACCGGGCCTTATGCCGCTTGGTCCTTTGGTCCTAGGATGGCCATGGACCTCCTCCCTAAAGAATCCGTTTTCGAAGAGATCCTGTCAAAAGACCGCAGCTTTTCAGCTCCATGTGCATTTGGCGGTTTTTGCTTGCAAGCAGGATGCCGTGACTAACATCCTCCAGCACATTGAGTCCGGCGTAATCCCCTCGAAGGAGGGCTCGGCCATGATCACGAGGCGGGCCTGCTCTTTTGTTGAAGGTGCCCTTTTTGTTGGTGCTTTAAAGGAAGCCAAAAGCAAAACCAACCAAGTTGAGCGGTCCCCCGGTAAAAAGATACACCCAAATCAGAAAAGGGCGTGAAGTTGATAAGAGAACTTGTGTAGCTCTCCCTTTACGCGGTGCTACGCATGCGTCTCGCATGCGTATCATTCGTTAGGCGAATCACGGCTCTGAAGAACATCAACATCATGACTGACCTGAAGTGGAAAGTGCTCGCCACGAAGCGCCGGGAAAGAGTGGAGGACCGGACCCAGAAACTTGGATCTGGCGAGCTCACCGATTCGGCTGACATTTGTGACACTGAGTGGTGCGAGGCGAAGTGCTCGCCAAATTCAAGCCGATTTGCCACCGCTCTTGAAAAACCTCTCACTTTATCAATTGCTATGCAGCCCCGGAAGCAATGAACGTGCCTGTGAGGTCCCAAACTTGGGAGCCCATCGGCATGCCTTACGCCTTACCAAGGGTTGGGGTTGGTCAAAGGCCTTAGGGTTTGGGGTTGTTTGACGCATTCGCATGGATCCGCCACCTCTTGGGTATCATGATGCATTTGCTTCCCCAAAAGAGAAGCCGTCTTCAAAAACCATCCTGTCAGCTTCCTTCATTGTTGGAGGGAGGGTAACCCACCCTCATTCAGCAATCCTTGGTTTGGATTGGTTGGGAGTGCGAACCCCTGGCTGCTTTCAGCCCCAATGATGGGGCCGCCCCTTACCCGCCCCAAACTTGAGGACAAACTGGGAGCCCCAACACTTTCGCGGGCTTGTTTGGTATGTCTCCTGGGTTGGAAATATGAGCGCGGTTGCAATCGCCGAGGATCCAAAGCTCCGTGGGCCAGGCCCTGTCCCAGCTGCCTTTCCGGCACCTGCCTGCCACCAAGTGGGTGGAGGGAGCAGCCTGGCCTTGTCCCTTTGGAGCCCTAACATCACTTTTCAGGGCCAATACCTGGGACCCGCGTGTGAGTTGAAAAGGCAAGAACGGCACTGCCGTTCTTTCTGATAATTTGGCTGTGTCTCCACGGGTCTCATGTTGTATTTGCGAGTGGGACGGATGCGCCATTGAAGCATTGGAGACAACATTTGTTGCGAGCGCTGCTGCGTTTCGAAGGTGTCCTACCTTCTGGTGTGTGTCTCTGCTGTCGTTTCTGGCACGTGTGCTTCCTTTTTCGCTCGCCCAAGTGGCTTTTGGGGTATATACTTTCAAACCCTTTTCCCAAACCAACCACCCTCTTGTCCAATTGACTAGGAAGAAACCAAAGGTTCCAATTCAAAGGAACATGGCTTTTCAAGACTTTTTTCATCAGGTTTCATGGCGTTTTGTGAGCAGGGTAAGGGTTGCCTGGATGTTTCTCCAAGTATGGAGCTATATAAGGGAACAAGTGGCAGCCAGTCAATAAGCCTTCTATGAGGGGGCTTTCTATTGCCCACTGCTCCCTGCCTCCCTGGACTCCTTAAGGAATCACCACCAATTCCCCTCTTGTCCACAGAGTCAGGTTTCATGTTAAGGGTTGCCTGGCATTTTTCTCCGGAAATTCCGATCTAAGGAATCCTGGGACATCCAGAAGCACCACATGTACACCCCGCTGCCTTGGCAGACGGGCCGGTGCAAGGACTCCATCGCGGCACAGGAGCTCGACACCATCAACAAGCTGCTCCAGCGCCCCAATAGGCCACGGCTGCCACGGGTTGTTTGGAGGGAAGCCCGAGGTTGGGCTTTCTTTTTTGAGGGAATCGTTAAGGGGGGTCCAAGGGGGGCAGGGCAGGGAGGGGGGGTCCCTAAAAAACACTAGGGCACCCTAGGGCTCTCAACTGCCCAAGTCCATAAAGCTTGGTGTTCTGTTGATTGGTTAGCTCAGAAGGACCTCGGCTAGCTCAGGGGTCCCTTCAAAAGTGGCAGTTCACTTGATTTTGCAACTTTGGGGAAATCCACTGACCCTGCAGTGGTTTGGTTAGAAATACATGGGTTCCACTGGTTTAGATTGGTTTTATGCCCCATTTACCAGGTTTGACCAAAAGGACACCGGAGGGCCTTTGGGTCGCTTTTTGCGGGAAGCCGAAAGTCAGCCACTGTTATATATATATATATATATATATATTTGTTTGTTTTTTGCGGGGGAGGGGGGGGTGCAAGTTTGACCCAAAATGGCGAGCGTATTTTTGAGACGCTGTTTTTGGTTGGTGTGTAAATACTAATTTGACACATGCCCAAATAGGATCTGCAACAACCCCTAAGGGTACCTGGAGTGCCCTTTGTTACCTAATTTCTGCCCTTAGGCCAAACGTATTGCAAAACCAAGGGTCGTTACCAAAATATGTTAAACGTACACATTTTCCTGCTTCGAGCGTTTTTCCCAAAACCGGCTGGCCGGTCCGCCAAGATGATCGGTCGCTGAAAGGAGCGAGCAGACATCAAAGTGCAAAATAAGCGCAAGCAGCCGCAACACGAGCGCAAATATCCGCAACCGAGCGCAAATCTACAAACGTAACAATTGCTCGCCTTCTTCCGGATGGATGAAGGGGACTTGATCGAGCGTTTTTTCGGGGGGGGGGGGGGGGGGGGGGGGGTCGTGCAGAAATCGGTGATTCAAGCGGTTTTTTCTCGTACTAAAAAACTGGCACGTTGGGTGCTTCAGGTGCTCTCGGGCAAACGAGTGGCTGTAGGTGTTTGTTTGAACGGTCAGTTTGACAATGAGCATCGATGGATTCCACGGGTTTGAGTTTGGCTCGAGCCAGTTGAATCCATGTTTTTTTGTTTTTTTTTTTTTGAAACGCCTCCTGCAGCAGGGTCAAGTGATGAACCGGCCAATTCTTGCTTTTCAATGGGAGCCTCCTGTGACCCAAAGTTTCGCGGTGAGCTGTGTCAGTCGCAGACGGCTCGAAAGAAATCGGCTCCTGTGGCTCAAAAGCGCCATGCGCTCCACCCCACAATTTGCAAGCCACTGCACGATTCTTATTTGGGGGGGACCCCTCCAACAATGCTGGGTTTCCTTTTGGATTTCCCTTTCAAGCAGCCTCCCTTAAGGAGTGTATCCCGCAAATCAGGCAAGACAGCCGGTTTGCGAACAGCCGACTTCACCCCGCGGAGAAAATCCGCCGCGCATGGCCCGCAGGCGCCAGGTGCTGTGGCAGATCTCGGAGATCGCCGCGATGCTCTCCGGGCCCAAAATCACCCAGCTCGTCGAGGCCAACTTCCGCAGTTCGAATGGTTCCGCGTCGATGTTCGGCTCGTTTGCTTGGCTCAGCAGAAAGCCCCAGGAGTGCCCACAGTGAGGCGTGTTGTCGAGTGGCGCCCTCTAAATATTTTTGCTCACGAGTTCGGGCCCCACCATCAAAGGTCAACCCCAAGCAAGGCTCACTTTTTCTACCGAGGTCACTGGTTGTGTCAATCCCGAACAGAAAGGTGTGTGTGTGTGTGTGTGTGTGTCGTTGTGTCTCTCTGTCTCTGTCTCTCTGGGTCTCTGTGTCGCTGTGTGGGTGGGTGGGTGGGTGGGTGGGTGGGCGGGCGGGCGGGCGAGTGGGTGGGTGGGTGGGTGGGTGGGTGGGTGGGTGTGGGTGAGGATGTGCGTTCGTGCGTGCGCGCGGGGTTGTGTTTGTGTCTTTGCCTGCGGTTTTGAGGGTACCCCTTCCCAGGCTGGTCCACCGGAAAACCAACATGGAAAGCCACATTTTGCTTGGCCCCCGCCCCCCCCACCCCCCACATTTTCACACATCAAAGCGTTGTCCGATTCTTTTTCTACCGGCCCGGTCGCTTGCCCCTCAGGCCAGCATCGCCACGTTGAACGCGCGCTTCGAAGGCATGGCCCGCACGGTGGGGCGGCACTACCCTTACCTGAACTCCGCCCTCACGAAGAGCTTCGGATCTCAGAGAAGGAGAGGGGGGAGCCCTAATGGGTGAGGAGAAGGCCCTAAATGGTGTAGTAAAGCACCATGGCCTAGTGCAAGTTTCCTCTTGGTGTGCTGCTCCCAAAAGCACCCCAGAAAAGCAGGGCTCCAGCGGGTGAGCTGCAAAATGCCGAGGGCACATGGCTTTGTTTGCTTGCTTTGCCGCTGGCTAAACGACTCATGGGGCGATTCATGTCGTCGAGTTGGGGCTTGCTCTTCCTGCTTTGCTCGCCATGGGTCAATGACGAGCAGCGACTAGAAATTAATTGAGGAGCTGCACTACCGCCAAGTTTGAGATATGGTTTGTTCCATAGACACCCTCCCACGAATTGACGTGGAACCTGGCAGGGGGTCCCTCTAAAAGGAACATTTGGTCCAAACCAGGACCCCACCTCTGTCACTAACTGGTGGGAGAGTGTTGCAAGAAATTCCCCACGGTTTTGGGGTGGTCTACCTGCAGTATTTTGGGGATCGCTGGGTCACCTTGCAGCCAACTTCAACTTTGGAATGACAGGGGCGAACCACACGAGTGTCAGGTCTTTTCTGGTTTTCCGCAACAAGCAAAACACGCACACAAATAAAGAAACAACAACCACCACAAAAAACAGCACCCAGCCAACGCACAGAAAGGGCAAGCCACCAGTTCTCATCGCTTTCCGCGGCTCAGGAACGAGACGTTGAAGGGGAGCTGCGACGTCCTCACGCCGCTGATGGAGCTCTTGTTGTTGGATGACCCCACGCGCGATGCCTGCGTTGCCAAGCTCATGGAACGCTACTTGGTTTGAGTGCGGCATGAGTCACAGACCGCTTCTTGGTATGGGGAAGGCATGGGGGACAATAGAAGTCCACACAGAAAAGCAGGGGACAAGCCCAAATTCCCAAACTCCAGGGGTTAGCAACCCTGCTTCAAAGTGATTCGGGGGGCTGAGCCAACCAGGTTCCCCATAAACAACTGGGGACAACCCAATTTCACGCTCATGTGGCAAGGCAGAGTCGGTGAGACATCAGTAGAAAGCTGTTCGCTTGTTGCCACTGGCTAGGCTTGAAGCCTGCTACCCGCTGCTTCGTTACAAGTCTTTACAAGGTTGATTTGGCGTCGGGATGGGTCCGGCTTGGCTGCATTTGATGCTGTGGACGGACAAGATGTTGCACCAGTCGGAGGGTTTTCTACCCCAGCACTCATAAACTTTGATCCATCCCAACTGGTGAGAAGTGGAGCAGTCTGAGGCAAGGATGCCGAGTACTTACTGCTGTTCGGATGCAGCTTTGGTCGCCACCTGAGCAGCTTGGCACGCAAGGATGTGAGATGCTGAATGGTTTGTAGCCGGTATCGCGACATCCTTCACCTGCCTAGTTACCCCGAACCAAACACGGAAACGTGGAACTCCAAAAAGGGGTTCTTGGCTAATTTGGAGATCTCCGCTTGGGTCTGTCTTTCTTGGGTTCGCACCCTTGCTCAGGGGTTGGTTTAAAGGGAGACAAAAGGGAGAACCGCCTTGTGGGGGGGGTCCCAAAAGAAAGAGACACACCCATTTGCAGATCCGGGTTTTTCCCGGACCAACGGAGCTGGGGACATCTTTGTTCGCCGGTACCTTGAACCCACACGCGAGGTACAGTGCGCCAGGAGTGGCTCCACAAGTGCCTTTGCAAGCTGAAAGCCAACGGCGAAGAGACGGAGCCTTGACGTCGTGAAACGCGAAGCCACACGTGAAACGAAGACGAAGGTGAATAGGTGAAACGGAGGTGCCGTGAATTGAATTTGTTTCCGCTCCAAGGGAAGATTCCGGTAAAAGCAAGGGGGTTGTTTGATCTCCAGATTCACATCGGGGTCACACGAAGACATTTTTGCCGAGGGGCTTTGTGTTTTCCATTTTCGAGTGTAGCATGCCCTTTCTCCTTTGACAAACTGCCCGTGCACTTGCCACTTGTGATGTTCGCCTCGCTGTGTCAACACAACCGGGTGTGTCTATTTTAGGGGCCTCCCAAAATGGCGCAACGATGCACAACGGTTTTCCTCTTGGTTCCCCCTTTTTAATTTTTTGAAGGGGACACCAACGCAAAAAAGCACCCACAGAGCAACTCAGGAGTTCTTCCACTACCGCAACCGCGGGCCGATGCTGAGCCAGATTGCTCGCTACGGCAAGGGTGACCCCGGCTGGCGCAAGGCGCTCGACAACGCATCTGGCTTGCAACCATTCCAAGGGGTTAATTTGGTTATAAGTTGTTTTTTATGCGGATCCCCCTAACAAGTGGGTGGTGGACGTCAAAAACAGGTCCCCAATGAAAGGCATGCAAATGTTTGGACTACCCCGAGGTAGACTTCAACCAAGCGGTTTCCCCATTGATATCCAGCACCCTGGGGTTAAGTCCACCTTGGTGTGGTCAAAAAGGATGAAGTTTGTTCAAAGCAAAGGTCGGCGTTTCATTTCGGTGTTTTGGGCCAGCTTTGGCAGTTTGGTTGGCGTTTGGGATTATTGTAGGCTCCGGACTCAGATCGCAGTAAGGCAAAGGGCGCGGTGCAGATGTACCTGTGGCACCCGAAGACGCAGACCGCCGCACGGCTCGGATGGGCTGGTCACTTTGGATCCCAAGGGAAACCATACGTGCCATGGTCAAACGACCGATTCCTTCACCCTGGGCTTAGAAGTTAGCTAGTGGTCAGCCACCTGGTAAGGATCCTCAGTGACTATCATGAAAAGCCATCCTGTTAAAAAAAGAAGTAACAACCACGTATAATAAAACCCACAGGCCAAGAAAAGAGTTTCGACCATGGCACATGTGAGCGGCCCGGGACATCTCAGGAATTCCTTAAGAAGGCGCTGTGGTCCACCGAGCAGTCGGAACTGACCCTCATCCCACGCGTGGAGTTCGCGGATGGCGTCTCCCGAGTCAGCGAGCTTCTGAGCATCTACCCCAAGGATCAGACCACCAAGGCGCGGGCCGGGCATAGCGCCACCAAAGCCCCCGCACCATGGAACCCGTTTCAAGATGCCCCATGATGTGTTTGATTGGCTGGAACCCCCCCCCCCAATCCGCTTGGGTGTGGCACATCCTCAGTTGCAAGATCGCCGCCGGCGCCCTTCAGGGACTTGATTGCATAAAACAAATCTATGTAGATAAATCCCCACCACCATTCATGGATTTTTGGGGAGGGTTGGACTTGCTGTAGGCTCTGGAAGTGAGAAGGTGGAATTCGCGCCTATTTGGCAAAAAGCGGCAGTGAAAAGGCTCATTACGGGATATGGCGCCAGGTGACCCGACCTGTTTCTTTGATCAAAAAAGGCTTGGCCGACGCTCATTTTGGATAGCAGAGGCGTAAGTGGTTGCGGCGCATTCGTGGCAATTATGCGCCGGAGCGTCGTGGCACGTGGTTTTTTTGTTTTCACTTTTGTGGGGATGGAAACACCTAGTGCAGGAACTGTACGGATGCTCAGGAATGTGGCCGGAGCATGACATCCCTGTACCCTTCCAATTCCTGCAAGAGTAGGGGGAAAAGCCGCCCAAGGCAGAATCACGTTGACTTGTTGGCCTTCTCTCACTCATGTCCGCAGAAGTTGCCAGGGACATCACCTCCGAACATCTGCCAAAGTTATGCTCACCTGGTAAAACAAGCTCACCACGAAGGGTCCTGTACTTGTACTTGGGATCCGTTTTTTGTCTTCCTCTTTTTTTCTTCTTTATTTTCTTGTTTTCCTCCTCAGCCTTGGGACATGTAACATTTGCAGATGGGGAGTGATTCTCCCTTTGAAGGGTAATGGCTCCACCGTATTCTTTGTGCAATTTGACCAAGGGGCGTGGGGATCCAATTCGTTTTTTCTGGGCTTCAACTGCAAGACTTGCCGCCTGGGGGGTGGGGGGGCGGGGCGTGCCCGCCAGGACAGCTCCGACGTCTGGGGCTGGGAGGTCATCCAGGCGTGATGGGGTGCTGCTTGTCTGGGTGTCTCAAGGGCGCCCCGCGAAAACGGGTGGGTCCCCCTTGGCATCACCTTGAAATGGTGCCAAAGATTGAAAAAGAGTACCCTCAACAAAAGGGCACCCCAAAAACTATTTTTTAGATGAATCTCTTGCAGGGTCCCACCAAGAGATTACTCTAGACTATTGGTTTTCCGTGTTGTCACCGGCAAAAGTGCAGGGCTATGAGCGCATTGTGGGTGCCCACGTTGCGGGGAAGGTGTCATTGACCAATGTCATAACGCGAATGAAGGTGAGCTTGGGCCGGGTATTCATTTGATCATTTGGCAGATCTATTGCCACACTCATTGTCTGGTGGCTGGTGGAAAAGAGGGGGGCAACCGTCCCCGGCCCAAAAGGACGGTTCAAGCACAGTTTGTGGCTAGCCGCCCTGCACCATTGGCCGGCACTCACAGGATGCTGTCCCATTTTGAGACCAACTGCTGTTTCCTCCTGGAAGCTCCCCTGAAAAAATGAAGATGTGAGGGGCTTCTCAAAACACACAAGAACTTGAGGGGCTTCTCAAAAAGAAGCACAGTTTCAGGGGCTTCTCAAACAAACATCACGACTTTAGGAGTCGCGTCCCTTTCAACCACTATTTCTTCAGGCAAACTTTTGAAGGAGTTGGACCCAAGTCGCCCCGTGGCCAGGCGGCGGGCGCCTACAGCGACATCAACCAAGAGGTGGAGAGGCGCTTCGCCGAGCTGAGCCTCGGCTTCATTTGAGTTAGTTTTTTCTTGGAGGGGAAACCCGTATGGTGGACACAAGTCGGGTTTGTGTTGCCACCTCCCTTTTTTTTTTTGGGGGGGGGGGGAACTTGCAACCTCCTCCTTCTCTGGCATTGTTTTTGTTAAGGGTTCTTGTCTGCAAAATTGACTCTATAGGTGTCCATGGTACGGGGGGAACCCCCAAAATGGCTTCGGTATTCCGTTCGGTTTCCCTCTACCACCAAAGGAAGGGGTGCCACCGAAAAACGACTCACCCATTTTCTTCAAAGGAAGGGGAAAGAAGCTGAAAGGGGATGGAGCATTTGTTTGTTCAAGCTTGAAGCATCGGGGGGGGATCGTTTTGGGTCCTGCTCCAAACCTCCTGGAGAGCAACCCCTTTGTGGGTTCCCCCATTTGGAGGCCAACCCAATGGTAGTTTCGGGAAGTCAACACAGGGTGCGGGGTTATGCTTGATATTTCCAGGCTCCCTGCTTCACACCTGGCAACGCAACAGGGAATGCCTACCTCCCACATGGAGGCTGACCTAAGGCCAAACCGCCATCAATCTTAAGACCTCCCTGACACATCTCCCCTGAGCTATAGAGCTCCGGAGGCCAGAGCCTAGCTTCTGCGACAAGGTGGATGACCCTGAGGCGCCTCCGCATTCGCTCGCAAAACCGGGTGTCTCAAGAGGTACCACTTCGGGGCATTTCGGCGCTGGGGTTGCGGGCTGCCGGGTGCGTTTCGGGGGTTCAAGGTTAGAGGGCCCCTTCCAGCACGGAGAACAGCCAGGCTTGGGAGCGCTTGTAACAGCCAGAATTGGGGAGAACAAAAACACCTCGCAGGCATCCTCAAACTTGAGGCCTCGCTCCCCTGATGTCCAAGACTTTAGACTTTTTGGGAAGACCGTGCTAGTGGTAAGTGAAAAGTTCGGATGTTGTTGTTTTTTTTGCCAACCCCCTCAGGAGTGAGAGGTGTATGACATGCAGCTCACTCCCAACACCATGGGTGTCCTTTTAATCGGTGTTGGTTTGATAGATGCCACTGATTTGGATTGGTTTTAAGCCATCCACTTTGTAGGGAACCCCATGCATTTTGCCAGTTTCAGGCCAGCTACACCGCAAAAGTGAGCCCAATGGGTTTGTCATTTTTCCGGATTGAAGCCGATGGGTAGCTTGTCCCCCAAAGCGAAACCCCCCATGCGGGAACCCGAGGTGGAGACCCTGCTGAGCGCCTTGGGCCGCTCCGACAACGCCATGGGCGCCATGAAGGTGCTGGGCCCCCACGCGGGCAAGGTGAAGCAGGCCAAGGAAGCGGCGCCTCGGGCCGAGCTTGGTTCGGTCGGTTCGGTTCGCTCGGGGCGCGCCAGGGGGTGGGGGGTCGGTTAGTTCGTTCGGGGAGTGGAAAGGGGGGGAACAAGGCTGGCTTTGCCGTCCAGGCTTTTTCAAGCACAAGGGCCAGCAGAATGTACCTTCAACTAGTCGCCTGAGAAGGACGAAGGACTACATTTCGACTAACCCCTACGGACCCCCCCCCTCCTCCTCGGAGAAGAAAATGACAGGCCGTAAGCCAAGGCACCTCCGGGCCCACGGACCCCCCCCCTTCTACTTGGACGTCAGACAACTTAATCCTTGGCCGCAAGGGAAGGATCCTCGGGGCCAGCTGAAAAGCGTCCGAGGTGACGAAGATGATCTCGCAGCTCAGCCCACCTCAGGCAAGAGCGCCTTGACGTCAAGAGACAGAAAGGAGAGTATTCTTTGCATGGATTGTTGCGAGAAGGTACGTGGACATACGTGGACCCAACAACTAGGAGGTTGGATACCCCAAAGATATGGAAGGTGATTTTCCTAAGGTAATGGCTCCAGGGTTCTTGACCAAAGGGGCATCAGCCACTTTACGTGCCCGTGAAGCTCAAAGAAGCCTTTGACAGAACCCATGTTAAGTTAATGTCCACCAACAGACAACGGATTCGAAATTCATACCTATTCGGTGCATGCCCCTTTTGCTTGGGAAAGTAACTCACACAAGGATTCACAAAGGCCGGTGGAACGGTCTAAAGGGATACCTGAACCCTCCACCTTGTTTTAGAAGTTGGATTTTGCCACACAATGTTTGGCTGATTTCCTTTCTTAGGGTAGCTCGAGGGTTCTTTTTTTTTTGGCCACTGCATTTGGCCACAGCTTGGTCAGACATGTTGCGGTTCAATTTTGGCCACTCGCCTTGATCCTGAAATTGGGGCTGAGCGGTAGGGGTCCCATGGGTCTTGTTTTGGAAACACCCAGCTCAGTTCCAGTGCCAGAAGCGCGCCCAGCGCCGAGGGCGGCTCTAACGTGCACTCCGCTGGTTCCAAAACAGAGTCAGGCTGTTTGGTGATGTCCAGAACTCACATATCCGGCTCTGTGGCCTTTTCTACGCAAAAAGCGAGGCATCCAGGTATGTGTCCTAGGATCACGTTTCCGTGGGCCTTCTCCCAGGTGCTGATTCGGCAAGTGATGCTGCCCAAGAAAGCGGGCGTAGGCCTTCAAGTGGCAGGCTGGATGTTGTTGCATGGGGTCCCCACCAATCAGGACAGACCCGGGGTTCTCCAACGCCGCTTTATGCTTTAGGGTAGACGCACTATGAAACAGAGTCATTCCCTTGAATCCTCCCTAATCAGATTCAAACCTTGCTGGCCAATGGAACGACCTCACCTGCATTTGTGAACGAGGTTGCGGTTGCGCAATATCACTGTCCATTTGCCAACCTGGGCATGGATTTCTTGGCAAGCAGACTCAAACAAGTTTGGGCCTTTGAGCACACTAAGAGAAATCTGTGGTGCTCAACATAGGGGAAGCCCACAATTCTGGGTTTCCTTTTGGTTTCCCTTGTAGAGCCACTTGCGAGGGGTCCACCATCTTGATAAACCGCCAAATGACTGGGCAGTGCACTCCGAGCCAGGATTGAAGAAGATCGTGGACCTGCGAATTCCAGATCCGTTACTTGGAGAGGAGCTGTGCCTTTCTAGACCACATGTTTCATGCCCCAAGTGTGGATTCCTCCAATCAAATTGCACTCCGAAGTGCAGCACTTTCAACAGGGAACCCATGCGGCATCAACAACAATTCATCGCTATTTTACTATAAGTGGGTCCTTGTCGACTTGTGGGCTCTTTGGGGGGGGCGGTGGGGGGCTTTCTTCCGCTGGTCAGCATGATTCTGAACATTTGATGGCGAGCTCACGAATTCGGGGCTACAGCAAGCTCACCATGATGTAGCCTTTACTTGGATTCCCATTTGTGTCTTTTGTAGGGGAACCCAAAAATTGTAGTTGTCCTTCAAACCACGAAAAAGGGTAATGTTGGGGAGTGAATAATAAAGCCCCCCCCCCCCCTCAAACAAAATGGGGGGGGTCAATAGAGGAAACCCTAAAAACAAAATGAGGGTCAGACCGGGTCTTCCCTAAGTAGTATTCCAGTAAGTATTGGTTAGTATTGGTTTAGTATTGGTTTAGTATTCTTGCTGACTGGCTTCGTACTGCTTAGAATTGGTTTAGTATTGGTTTAGTATTCTTGCTGACTGGCTTAGTACTGCTTAGAATTGGTTTAGTATTGGTTTAGTATTCTTGCTGACTGGCTTAGTACTGCTTAGAATTGGTTTAGTATTGGTTTAGTATTCTGGTTGACTGGCTTAGTACTGCTTAGAATTGGTTTCGTATTGGTTTAGTATTCTTGCTGACTGGCTTAGTACTGCTTAGAATTGGTTTAGTATTGGTTTAGTATTCTTGCTGACTGGCTTAGTACTGCTTAGAATTGGTTTAGTATTGGTTTAGTATTTTGGTTGACTGGCTTTGTACTGTTTAGAATTGGTTTCGTATTGGTTTAGTATTCCCTGGCCCCAGTCCTAAAAGACTTTTCTCAATTAACTCCCCTTAAACAAATCTCATTATTAGCTTCCTGGGTGTTCCCTGTACTACCCCCGTTGAAAATTTGGCAGGGTGCAACTTTTAGTAAGGGCTGTCATAAAGAATTTGGCTGTTGGGGCCTCAGTTAAACTTCCTTTTCTGGGGAGACTCAGTAGTTCTTTGAAAAGGAAACTTCCTTTTCTGGGGAGACTCAGTAGTTCTTTGGAAAGGGAAGCCCTTTTCCCTGCAGGCATCCCTGGCCCCAGTCCTAAAAAACTTTTCTCAATTAACCCCCCTTAAACAAATCTCATTATTGGCTTCCTGGGTGTTCCCGGTACTACCCCCTTGAAAATTTGGCAGGGTGCAACAACTTTTAGTAAGGGCTGTCATAAAGAATTTGGCTGTTGGGGACCTCAGTTAAACTTCCTTTTCAGGGACTTCAATCATCATCTCCTTGTTGGTGGTGGTGGTAGGTTGGGGGGGGCGGGCGGGGCAGAGAGAGAGAGAGAGAGAGAGGAGTTGCACTGAACTAGGGATTAATTATCAAACTTTTTTTTGGGGAACATTTTTCCGGATTTTTTGCCCCTCACAAAAACTTTTGTGTATTACCTCCCCCTTTTGCTTTTCAGGGGTGTGAATAATTTTGGGATTTGTGTTTGTGTATTGACTCCCCATTTATTATTCGCAACCTAACATTACCCTCAAAAGGCACACCCAGCTCAAGTTTTGTAACGCCTGTAACCTTTGCAGACGATTCTGATTCTGCGTGTGCTTGTGCACGTTTGTTCCTGGGCATGGCTTTGCTGCAAAACATGGGGAGCAAGTATGTAGTGGCAAAAGATAGGTTGACTCTATCTCTGCTGCTGCCTGTTTGACTAAAAGAGCGCCATGATGAAACCATAGTATGAATACTAGGATAAGTCATCTCTTTTTTAACTTTTTCAGCTCCTTCTTCAAAACCTTCTGGCTCGCCGACGGACCCCACTTTTAGGGGCCGTTTTTCCAAAAACAAATGAGGCCGCTAAACCACAGTATCATCTTGAGCGCATCAGCCTTCAGTTTGTAACGCGCGAAGCGGGCTTTGGTTGTCTACAGCACCAGGCTGATGAAGTATTTCTCGAGTTTTGCCCTCCGCTTACAAGTACTTTTTTGAGCGTGTCCCGGCTTAGGTGGAAAACCTATTGGAATTTTCTGTGAGGCCCAGGGGTTCCTTGTGGAGACAAGCTCATATTATGCATATTCATCGGATCCAAAGGAACCAGAAGCCAGACTCCAGCATAGCACCTGTGGGGAGATATCTTTGAAGGGAGCCCCCTGCTAGGTAGCATGTTGGTGAGTCGGAGGATATGGGTATGTATGGTGTGTCTAAAAATAGCGGGACCCGCAAAGCACGGTGTTTTCACGTTTCCCTTGAAAACCGACCCCAAACGTGGCGGGTTCCCGCAAAAAAAGGCAGGCCCACCCTGAAAAAAAACGACGGGTTCCAACTTGTCGCGAGGTTGGAGCTCTACACCTATGTGTGGCGCAAGGGGGAATGCCAGCGAGATGTGGCAGGCGACGTTTTGCATGCTAAAACCCTTTCGGGAGCGCACCACTGACTCTTGGGGCTAGGCAGAGCTTCCCAAAAATCTGAATGACATGGCCGTGTTTCCCAAAATGATCTGGAAAGGGAATTTGGTTGCCCCAAAAGTCTGAATGACATGGCCGTGTTTCCCAAATTATTTGGAAAGGGAATTTGGGGCAGCTCTCCCAAAATGATCTGGAAAGGGAATTTGAGCCAGCTTTGCCCCAAAAGTCTAAATGAAATGGCCGTGTTTCCCAAAATGATCTGGAAAGGGAATTTGCGGCGAGCTTTGCCCCTACAAATCTGAATGAAATGGCAGTGTTTCCCAAAAATGATTTCGGACTAACTGTGGGATGCCCGATTGCATAGAAGCACCTGTGAGGTTGATTCTCAACATATCCAGCTGAAGGTCAAGTCGGGGTGTGGGAAACGGGGGAGGAGAACGGAGTTAGTGTAACCTTAGAGTAATTATGGCGTAAACAAGTTTTCAGGAAAGCGTAGCTGTTGTGTTTTTGTGCCGGGGTTTCATTTGGGGAGATGTGTGTTTTTGCTTTGCAGGGCGGCTTGGGAAGCAGAGGGGTTCAACAAGTCCAAGCCTGCGACATCAACAGTAAATACGGGAAAAAACATGCCCAAACCGGAAGATGTGCGGGTGGGCGGAATTCTTATCGAGTTTCCTTGTTTGAACCTAAGAAGCATCCACCAAGCCCTTATTTGCAGGTGGGTGGGTTGGCGCATTCTTGTCGATGTTCCTCATTTGAATCTGAGGCAACATCCTGTCCAAGGTCGCGACCTCCGGAGAGTTCCCGCCCGAGGATGTGCGTACCTCGCCAAATATCCAACCGTGATGCCTACGAGTGCAACGGGTGAAAACCAGTGGTTTCTTCAGAGGGGAGGCAACCCGCAGAAGTTGTAACTATTGGGATGGGAGGGCAAGTCTATGGCAAGTGGAATTCGATACTTGTGGGCAAAGGCCATGCAAAAGATGTGGGGACTTTGGCGAGAGGTTCCTTCCCTTGCTGCATTTATGTACCGTTCTGGGCGACCAATTGATCGGGCTCGGTTCACGAGCGAGCCAGGTGTCCCTGGAATGCCGGATTTTCCTTTGTTGCTTTCCGGTGTGTTTGCTGAACGTTGCAGGCATCTACTTCGAGTACTTCGACCGCACTGACAACCAAGATGACCAAGCCTACGTGGCTCAGATTTTGCTGGACCAGCTGATCGAACAGCACGACTGGGTGCTGCCCTACTTGCCCAAGGCGGCGATCAATATTATGGGTTTGTGCCATTTTGAGGGTACCCGGTTTTCAAAGGGACATCAAAAGAAATGGCCATCTTCTCTTCTCATTTCTTTGTTGCTGGGGGGGGGCCTATTTTGAGACCCACATCCCCACCGCTTAAGTATTGTAGCAGAATATGGAAGGGGAGCACCCATAAACAAGGGGCGGGTCCGTCAAGCTACATCTGCCCCTCGTGGCCGAGCGCATATCCTGCATGGAGGGGGGTCCACTTTTTTCCGGGTGCTTCCGAAACACAGGGGCCGACACCGCCCGAAGCCTTCCAGGCCTTGGCATGTCGTCCCGAGTTGCTGCCATGCTTTCTGCACTCTGTTCAGTGGCTTTGATTTTGGTCTCGTTATTTTTTCGTTATTTGTGCGACGCGCAAAAAATAGAAAAAGAGTTCCCATCCTGTTTTAGCCAACCCCCCCAACAGTCAGCTGGTTCAAATCCTGTTTGTTTCTCTCTTTTTTCCCGTCTTCCCCAGTACGTGGATGCAACACCCTGGAAAGGACATGGTGCCAATCTGTTCTGCAACCGCTCGGGCCACAGGTGTGCAATTGGGTCCAGGTCGGGCAATTTCACATCCCTCCTGCAACATGCTTAAAAATGGAATTGGGGAGGGCGCATGGACTTCCATATATGTTTACTTTCCTTTGGGAAGACTGTAGAGGAATTGGGACCCCCCCCCTCCCCCAGAAGGCAGCGCCAAAAATCACACTCCTCCTAATTCGGCAGGTGGTCTCCAAGCTGGCAATGGTGCCTGGAGCGACTCAGAAGTCCGTGCAAGCGCTGAAGCAGTGCACCTCCAACGCGCCTTTGGCCATTTTGGAGCTTTACTTGGTAAGCATCGGTTAAAATCTTGGCAGTCCAGTGGTTTGAGGAGGACATGGGGGTGTTACCTTCAACGCGCCTTGACTGTTTGGGAGCTTTTCTTGGTATGTAAGAATCGGCAAAAATCTTGGCAGTCCATTGGTTTGAGGAGGACATGGGGGTCTTGCTTTCCGGGACAGCTGACCCAGCTAGTTACGGCCTTACTGTGGATAGACACAACTCGGCTTCGCACCAGGTGGTTTATCCGAGTGTTTCGTCCATCCCATCTTGCTCAGGATTTTGTCCATAGCAATTTCCTCAGGAACGGGTGACCCAACTCAAAGAGCGCTAAGCCCCTTTCTATGTGCTCTTTGGATTGTGGACTCCATGTGAGCAACGAAGGTGCTGCTTCGGTGTTGCAGGTTGATGGATATCGGCTTTGTGTAATTCCCCAGCATTCTTTGGTGGTACTATGGCTGAGCGTTCATGCGTGCCTAGAAACACCATTTACTTGCGGTTAGGAATGGTTCAAGCCATCAACCGATTTCCGTTTTTGCCATGGTCAAAACACCCCTTTGCTTGGGGTTGAGCTCCTTATCGCAAAGGCATTCGAATGTCAGTGTCTTTCGCAGTTGCGTTCGAAGCCATTCCGAGCCACTTGCAGGTTGCTGATGTCGTGCAAGCCTTGACGAGCATCTTGCAATGCTGTCGCCTCGCAGCCCGCACCGACCCCAAGCTCAACAAGGAAGGCACCGACGGCAGGGTTTTGGCGGACCTCATCTCGCTGGTATCCTTCAGCCACTTGCAAGCAAAGAGGCCAGTGGCCGTGTGTGTGTGTGTGTGTTTGCGTGTGTTAGCTTGTGGCTTCGCTTGCATAGATGGCGCGCACACACACACACACACATGTCTGTGTGTAGACATGGTTCATGTGTGGCCCGGTTTGGTGTGTGTGGTGCGTGCGCGCACCTCTTTTTTTTGCGTTTGTGTGTTTGTTTCTGCGTGTGCGTATGACTTATTTGCGCCTCTGCGTGTGCGTGTGACACTAGGTCGCTTACTGGGAAGTTCCACGTTCTCGTGCTCGAGTGTTCTGCAGAAAAACAAATTGACTGACCGGATTTGCGTTTCTCCCGGCGCAAGCTGAACATTTCGTCCTGCACGCACCATGTTGGTCATTCTAGATTCCGCCTGCGCACTGAACTTCCACATCCATTTTCTGTGTTTCTCCAGGGCCCGTCTCGACGTCGGGTGAGGTAACTTCACGGACGTGGTGAGCTGTGTGGGGCGCATGTCGCTGGAGGAGTGCGACAGTCAGGTGCTGAAAACCTTCCTGCAGGAGGCGACCAACTCGATGTTTGAGAAATTTGTTTCGGTTTCGGCAGCAAAAAGGGAAAAGGGTGGTCCATGTTTGTATTGTTTGTGGGGGAACAAGCCAAAGTTGATCTTTGTTCTGCATCAACTGTGGCGGGGATCCCATTTGTTTTCAAATTAGGTGGACATGTTGGTGGCGCATTTCAAGTGTGTTTTCTTTTGCTGTGCTTGAATCTTCGAACATATAGCGGAATCTTCAGGCGAATCTGCGAAGAGCTTCCCTATAAGATACCGAAAGGGGTTCATGTCTCAACCGAGAATCAACGCACCGGCTTGTGTTGAAATGCCGGGCCTCCTTTGGGAACAGGAAGGGGGTCTCCGGAAACCCTATTCCTTTAACCGCTCCAGACCATCGACGAGTGAAAATCAGGGAACCCTGAAACTTCCGATGTTTGGTTAAGACATTGGAACACCTTTTGCCTGTCAGAAATCGATAAACCAATAAGCCATCCCATGCCCAAGCCCCTATTGATCGTTGTTAGTAGGAGGTAGTTGTACCACCCGGTATCATGCGGTGTACTGAATCCTTGAAGCCATTGCAACCAGGTTGATAGAAGGAGCCAAATGGGATTTGGGCGCTGCTCTTGGCGGATCCCCTCAAGGGCGGCCAGCTTGCAAAAGTCGATGCCCGAAAGTGGCAGGTCTTGCGAAGATGGAGTGATGCGCTGACAGCAAAAGATTCCAACGCGAGGAGCTGCTTGGCTTGGCTTCTGGCAAGTGCGAAACTCTGCCAGTTCAATCTACACTGCTTCATATGTCGGGCATTGTGACAAAAGCTGCGCTCCATTCGCTAGGTCCTGGGCCCGGCCCGTTTGTTGCCAAGGCTGCTTGAGCTGTGCATTGGCAGTCTGGGTGAAGCTGCTTCGTCCCTCCGAGCAGGATGTTTGGGCAGCTCGGCTAGTGATTTCGCGGACGGGGATCGCAGACGTGTGGGTTCCATGTCCCGTTAGGAACGGGGCGCCGTTGCGAATCCAATGCGTGTGCCCAACAGGACACATGCAGGCCCAACATCCAAGCCCAAAACCCTAGGAAGATGCTTGCAAAATAGGCCCAGCTTTCGAGAGCGGTGACCAAAACATGGCTGTTTGCAACCCAAACTGCTTTGAGGCAAGACGCAACAGAAAACCAATGCTCTATGCTATGCCTTCGGATGTTGGACGACCTTCAAATTCAGGAGTCAGGAGGCGGACTGTTCTCAACCAAGGCCCCAAGTCTTCACCACCCTCCCCCCCTCCACCCCCCAGTCCCCCCTCCACCCCCCATCCATCCCTGCACCCAAAGTCGGGCGTGGCTTGCCTCCGTCTCCAGGCGAAGGAAATCGCTGTCATGGAGCAGCGCCTGCTGAAGGATGGGGTGGCGGAGAGCTTGGGCCAGATGGCGCAGGTCGGTGAGAACGAGTCGAACCGCTTTGGTTTGCCTTGCTTTGTTTGGTCGGTTGGTTTGTGCGGGTGTTTGTCAGATGCTTTTGCGAACTCATCCAGTTGCGCGCTCGGGTCGGTCGGGAGTTTCCGACTTGGGGGGCTTTCCACGACATGCTGACCACCCGTGGTCAGCATGTCGTGGAAAGCGGGCAACAATCCACGTCTGCTCCAAGCAAGCCACCTCGAAGTTTGCAAACTCCAAACAACCCAATTTGTGTGCTCGCTTACTTGTTTTTTTGTTTGGTTGAACAGTCGTTGCTTGCTTATTTGTTTTGGTTTTACGTGATTTCTTGTTTGTTAGCTTGTTTGTTTGCTTGCCATGTTGACCCACACACCTGGTGGGTTGCCTCCTTGTTTCTTTTAGTTTGAAGGGGGACACCACCTTCAAAGCCAAACAGCAAACAAATGCTCCTTTTTGTCCACTGCTGTTTTTTTTTTGGCTATGCGACCTTGGCCATGGCTTAAATGTGTGGAGTATCGGGAGGCGCCCGACCGATGGAATCATCACTTGTTCCATGATGACTCACACCAAAGCTGGGGCGGTTCAGTGACGTCGCAAGCATGCAGAACAGGGGGCTTCTGCGCGGTTTTGGGCGAGAAGGGTGTCATTGGCATGCAACGCAATGACTCTGAATTGCACGGAGAAACGCCACGTCGCCCATCACAAGGTTCAGCCAAAAGTCTCAGGGATAGACCAGTTGGCCCCAACCCCAAACCAACACCAAACCAACACCAAACCAACACCAAACCAACACCAAACCAACACCAAACCAACACCAAACCAACACCAAACCAACACCAAACCAACCCATGCAACCCTGGCGTCGCTGCGGCAAGGCATTGGCAGGCTACGCGCCAGACATGGGCCTGTCACCAGACGACGCATGAGCTCAAGCTAGCTGAGTCAGGGCAGGAGGATGAACGGAGATGCCTTATGGGGTCATGAACTTTGAGGAACACCGTCAGATAAGGTTGGTGAGCATCAATCCCCGTGTAAATGATTGCCACCAAAAGGATCCCCAAATAGGGCTCGTACTCGTGTCATTGCCGGAGGCGAGTTGTTTTCAGCTAAGCCGGTTGCATTGCTGCTTCGATGCTGGGCAGACGGAAGGTTGGCTATGTCTTGCGATGGTTCTCAGGCTCTCAGGCATCGCCCCAAATTCGACCAGCTCAGCTTTGTTTTTTCCATCGGTGTGCTCAGTTTGGGCTCGGCAAATGGGTTGTTCATCCCCACTCGCTCATCAAATGTGGAGGGAGACGGGCCACACTGCAGCCGTGCCGCCCCCGAAAAAGCCACCTTTCCCCATACACGTTGAGGGTAATTCCTTTTCCCACTTGAGGGTGGGGATGCTGAGGAATGGGACGTGATGCTCCAGACTCTTCGGAACCTCTTCGTTCGGCTCCTGGATGGACCCCTCGAGGTCAATGTGCCGGCGGCTGAGGGCGAGAAGCCAGCAGACGACACTTTCAAGAAGGACAGCATGCATCGAACGCATCGCACGCATCGCATGCTCGCTCGCGAAGTTGCCCTCCCCAAGTCTGTGGGGCCCGAGACGAACTCAAGACCAACATGGGGCGGATGCATGAGCGGTTCAGGCTCCGAAGCTGTGGCTCGCGGTGTGTGAGCTGATGTCAACTGCAAGCCCCATGAAAATTGATAGCTCTCCATTTTCTCAGCTTGTCAGTGTGGTTCTTGTGGAAGCCCTGCATGGTGTCAAAGGCACGCCGTTCAGGAGGTTCTTGCGGCTTCCCTCCGTCTAGCTTTCTCGACAGGAGAACAAGAGCCGCGAGACGGTACGACAGGAACTGCTGTTGGATCACTGGGCGAAGCTTCTCTCGCATGGCTGCACCGAGTCCGAGCTGCTCGTCTGCCAAGGGAGAGAGACATGCTACGGGTTAGCCCCCTGGCAGATGAAAATAGAGCCCAAAATGGAGGAGGGCTGTTCTGGTTCCGTGGAATATTTGCCAAGTTGCTTTCCTGGGGACAGACAGAGGGGGGCTGGATGCTGCAGCTTGGGGCAATTGTAATTGTGATGTCCACTGGCTACCGAGCAGTGACCAAGCTTGAAGTACCATTGCTTCGTTGTTCCCGAACTAAATGTACCACTGTGAACGGCAAGCCTGAGTCGCTAAGCGTGGGCCTGAAGAGGCGATGTTCTTGCACCATCATTGAATCATTTGCACGTCGCTGCTCGCGAATGCTCGTGATGTCAAAGTCAGCTCGCAAGGTCCAAGGAGCTCTTCAAGCGCTGTCCGGCCACTCGGCACGGTTGAATCCTGGCACTTGGTGTGCTTGTTGATCAAAGATTATCAAAGATTCTCCTGTTGCTTGAGCTGTGTCGCGAGTCGAATCTTTGCTCAGCCGAGTCAAGCAGTAATTATCCTTGACTCAGAATCTTGCATTCGAGCCAGGAGAAGTCAAGAGTGAGGCTCGCGCAGAATTTGATCGACTCCTGGTGGAAATGCCAAACGGCGGAAACCGAGCGCGAAAACAAGGCAGGAGATGGAATGCTGCAAGGTCAGCAAACCGGGGTCCCCGTTGCCAGGCAGCCTTCCAGCAAGAGAGGCCGGACGGCGGCTGGAAGCACACGGGCGGAAAGCCGATCTCCCAAGTGGCCGCCATCCGGCTGCAGATGTGCAGATCAACCCAGCTGTGGGGAACTTTGGGTCGCACTTCGGTGTTGTTGTTTTCCTGTGTTGAGTAAGAGTGTGTTTGCTTGCTTGTTTGTTTGTTTGTGTGTGTGTGTGTGGGTGGCTGTTGCTTTTGCTCTTGCTCTTGATCTTGCTGTTGTTGCTGCTTTTGTTGCTGCTCTCGCCGTCGCTCTCGCTGTTTATGTTGATGTCGCAGTTGCTTGCTGCTGGCTTGAAATTGTTTGCGAGCTGCTTTTCTTGCAAAACCCAGGGGAGAGTAGTTTGCATGTGTAGTCTGCGGCATTCCTTATCTATGCTCAGATGGGCTCCATCGTCAGCGGCACCGTCACCAACAGCTCTGCAACCTTCGGGGTCTACGTGAACTTTGGTTGCGAGAAGGACAGGGGTGGCTGACTGGGTTGGGCAAAAAGCGGGCGCCGTGCAGCCGAAAGTGCCCCCCCTTCGGCTTCGCAACGTCGTCCTGCATCGGTGTAGCAGAATGGGGTCGCCAACGCGGCGCCCAAGATGAGTCGTTGCGATTTGGAAAGGGCACTTTGGACAGCTGGAGGCCAGTCCAACAGCTTGAAGATGCTTGAAGTTGGCCCTCCAGTCATCAGATCAGTTCCAATGTTAAGCGTCTGGAGATGTTGGGCCAATTCAGGAAGTCCGTGTTGTAGGAATCAAAGGGCTTGAAATACTCGACCCCAGGATGGCAAGCTGAGCGTGCCACTGGCAGATTGGAAGAAGTACCGTGTCGGCGACCGGGTGGAGAGGATGGTCGTGAACAAGGTCAATGTGGAGCCTTGGCTGGTGCACCTACCTGAAGGTCTGTCCATACCATAGACTTGCGGGGGTCGACCAGCGCCTGTTTCTCAGCGGGTTCCCCTCAAAGCAGAATTTGGAGCCTAATTTTGCGGATGTCGCTTGACCTAAACCTGGCTATCCCGCATATTTGCTTGGCCAGCATGTGGTTGCAAGGCCTGAAAGAAGTCCTAGATCAACATGGAATCCCACTGTAGGTATTGTAGGTCCCCTTTTCGGGCTGCGGGGTGGACACAACTTGGCCCCCAGACGCGGAAAAATTCACTCCGATCGGCCCCCTCAGGAGCGGAAGTTTGTGGACCTGCTGGTGGTGGGGTCCAAGGGCCAGTCTGTGGGCCTGGAGGCTTCTAAGCAGGCCGGCGGTTTTTCGTGGTCGTTTTCTTTGTTTTTCTTCTTTTTGTTGTTGTCGTTTTTTTTCTTTGGTTGTTTTTTGTTGTCGTTTTCTTTTTTTGTTTTTTCCCCCCACCGGAAGCTGGTGACGAGCGCTTTGGGGTTTCGGCCTCCACCCTAAACCTCAGTTCGCCTGAACGGATGGAGGAGATCATGTTGGCAGAAGCTCAAAATCGCTCCCCCGCGCAGGCCAATGCGGATGTTTCAAACCAATCAACCAACCAACGCGCCCAGTCCATGATCCAACCCCACAACCAGCTCACGAGTCTTTGCAACCAATTTTAAAGTAACTTTCCTGTAAACGAACCTTAAACTATTAGATAAACCAGATGAACCCTTTAGTAACTTTCGACTAACTGTAAGCCACCTTAAATGCACCTTGCACCCAGCATCCTAAGTCCCCCTATCATTCCCAGACCAAAGCATCCTAGTCCATCCAACTTGAGCTCCACCAACTTAAGGCCACAATGCAACAGAACATAGTAATTCACCACCTAGCTCCCGACGATGCTGCGAACGCTAGAATTTTCTAGTCACGGCATGTCCGTGCGGCATGCCAAACCAGGGTCACGGCAAAATAAATACCACATGTTGGCCTTCCAGGAGGGTTCGCAATGGCAAAATACCAATTGGGAAACACAAAGTACTAAAATATTCCCCAGCCTTTGGCCGAAGACGGTCGCCCCTTGCGCTTCTTCCAGGGCTTGTTCTTGGTGGTGATCCAAGCACTTTGTCGGGTGGAGGCAATGGTTCCCCAGATCACAACATTCCCTAGACCCCAGAATTCGTACTTTGTCTTGTGCGTTTCCACTAAGTGCCGCAACTGGGTTTAGAACACTGCTCACTTTTTCTTGTCTTGCCGGGGGAGAGGTCACTTAAAAATTTTAAAGCTCGTACCTCCAAGTGGTACGGGTATTTTGGGTATTCTGCACATCGTCGCTTGTCTCTTTGTGACCTCTCCAGGTGGCCAAGCGGGCCTTGAGCTGGGTGGCTTCGGACCCAGAGCTCCGCACCACGCTGCGCGGAAGCAAAAAACGGCACGCCTTGGGCGTGGCGGCTCCTTTTTTAGGGGAGCCTCCGCAAAATGGTGGGTTTTCGTTTTGGTGCCCGTTTAAAGCCATCTACAAAAGGGGTACCATTAAAAAAGACTCACCCATGTTTGCTCCAATGGAAGTTGAAAGATGGTTTTGACATGGAAGGCTAACTTTCGTTTGGGAAACGGTCCGAATTCCACTTCGGTGGGGCAGGGGTTCGTCTTGACCTTCCCTTTTCGGTTTCCAAACCTTTCCCTCCCAGGGTGGGTTTAGCCAACCTTAGTGAACGAAGTACCTTGAGAGTATGGTTTAAACCAAACCACTCCTGTCCATATAAGGTTCATGGTCACCCTGCAGAAGATGCTGGCGCAGATCCTGGTCGCCGACACCTGGCCTTTTCGTGTTTTTGAGGGAGCCCCTTGTAAGGCCGCGTTTTGCCTTGATTAGGAGAAGCATGGGGTTGGGGGAGGGTTGGTTGGATCAGAGTGGGGGTTGCGGTTGAATTCTGCAAGAAGTTCCCCTGCCCCCCTACGCCCTTGGCATTTGGGACGCGCTCAACGCTCAGAACAATTCATCTCAGTCCATGTGCCAAACATCGCGTCTAGTGAACTGCCAAACCCGGCTAGCTGCCTAAAACTGAACCAGGAGCATGAGATGTAGTGTGATGGTGCCCATGGAACCCCGAAAAGAGTCTCACAATGATGAGATGTGGTTCGATGGTTCCCCCGAAACAACCCACAGCCCCAAAGGTTTTCGCCGGGCATCGTCTTTTTTCCTCCGGCTTTGCGGCCTCAGGGCGGCAGCGAAGAGTTCGAGCCGAGTCTCGGCCTTCTGGGCCAGCCCATGGATGCGAAAGAGCCCCTCGAAGCGAATGGGAACGTTGCGGCAACGTCTGGTGGCTGCGGGATGAGGGAGTGGGAGGGGGGGGGAGGGGAAGAGGTCCAACAAGAAAAAGCACATCAAACTTAGGATGCTTGTTTGGGGCCTTGCTTGTTCAATGCCATGTTGGTGCCAGCGCTTGAAAACCAAAAGGTCAAAAGGGTCAATTCCCTTTGGGCAAGTGGGTTGTTGACAAATCATTGCCCCTCAAAGAAATGGCATTCGAGGACCGCTGCCCTGATTCTTCAAGTCGACATGTGCAGCGTCAGAAAACCTGAACCAAGCACTTCGAGTCTGGGCACGCAAAACAAGATTCGAGCCCAGCATGGACATCCTGTTGATACCCACATACGTGAGGGCGCTCCAGTTGAAATGAAACTCGTGCCGCAACAAACCGATACTGCTGATATGCCTGCGTGGTGCCTTTCCATGTGCCACCTGTATCCCATGCGAGCAAGGGGAACTATCCCCCTGCAAAACGCATTCAACACTTAGCCTCCATATGCCTGTGAAACAGTCAGGGTTTGATCAAAGTCCCAAAAGATTAAGACATTATCATGTCCTTTGCAGGTGAGACAATGGCTGCAATTGTTGGCATGTGCGGGCATTTTGCACAAAATGTCAACGGGTCGACGCCTAAAAGTCTGAGAAACATTCAGAGCCCCAACAAAGGTTCAACAGATATGTAGAAACGCAATCGGACAATTGTGTAGTTTGGTAGAACATGAGCGTTCCTTGTTGTTCGATTTGTCCTTAGGTAGTTGAGTGATTAGGATACATAAGTCTATCAAGATAATGAACTACGTAAAATATGGGGGGGCTCTTGATTGATTAGGAATAAGTCTATCAATGTAAGAACACTTTGCAAATATATGAGGGCTGACATTCAGGGAAACAGGACCCTTTCACAAACCAATGGGACAACTACGAAACTACAGGGAGCAATCAGGAATGCAAGAGTACGGGAAGAGCACGGGAAGATGACATGACTACAGATCAATTCACAGGGAGGACTGTAAGAAGACTATAAGAATACCATGCGACCAGAAGATGCAGGAAAAGAAGACAGCAAGACCATAGGAAGACTACAAGACTGAACCACCAGCCAGTGTAGAGTGCAAGACTACAATCATGTTGAGAAAATAAGTTTGCAACATCGATGATGCCAAGTTTGATTGACGTATGGGGCAAGCAGACAGAACCATTAGCAGCTCTCACACAACTATATAGCGGGGAAGACGACATCACGCTACAGGAAGACTACTAAACTGTTCGGTTACTACAACCAAGGGAGCAGTAAGACTACAAAACTGCCTGAAAATTGCGAAGCAATTGCACAAACCCTAAAACACACCAGAGCCAGAACATCGGAAAATGGTCAAGTTTGCTCGGACTGAGAGTTTGCTGCCACAAGCTTGAAACATAGACCGAGTTTTAATGATTAGAACGTATTAGGTTCCAGTATTGTTGGAACCGCTATGGCTTTCGCAAGATCCTGTGACATCTTCCCTGCCAAGGTCTGTTCTCATGCCACCTGTAGTACCCCGCTCCAAGCTCAATGAACCAGGCATGACCTTGTTCATTTGGTAGCAAGAAGAGGGGGTAGGGGTTCCAGTGAATTGGGGTACCTTAGGGGCACATCGGATTCCTCAATCCCAGTGTGTGACTTCGTAGCTCCTTTTCATCTAGCGGAAGCAATGCATTGTGCAAGGGCACCAGAATGTCCAAATGTGTCTGTCTTTTTTGAGTTGGTACACGTTGTTGCGTGGGTTTCAAAGGAGAGACCAAGAGGAAGACCGAATCCATATATGGAGGAGTGCTGTAAAAACATCCTGCACACCCAAAGGCGTACAAGTCAAAGACAACGGGCACCCCCCGCCCCCATTTTTTGTCTTGACCGCCAGTAGCGTGAAGATGGCGCAGCTGGTCCTGGAGCAGAGCCCCAAGGTGGGAAATTCCGATTGGCCACAGCGCAGAAAAATGTTCATTCAGCTGGTACAGATACTACTTACTTACTCATGATGCGTGAAAGGCCCGCCGGGTTTGGAAGAAGCCAAAAGCTGCTTTTTCTCCGCCAAATATCAGTATGTCGTATGTATGATTTGCTTTTGACGATGCCCCCTATCAGAGTTGCTTCAAAGGGAAGACCCGCGAAATAAAATTGGAAAATCCCATGTTGAGACCAACCCAAGTTGATTGATTCACTCTCTACGTTTGTGGTCGCAACTTGCCCCCCCCCCCCCCCGCCCCAACTTGGATCCCGTTTTCCTTGAGGACCAACCGGCCAAATGTGCTTCAGCCAAACCCTGACCTTTAAACAGGGCTCCTTAAGAGATACATTTTGCCCATTTGCAACATTGCTTTTCCCACCAAAATAAGGGGAAGCACCATTGACAAGGCAATGTTCAAGTGTATAATGTAAGGATCCCTGTTAAAGGGGAGCCCAAAGGAGGTAGCTTCATAAAATTGCGGTTGAAACTATAGTTCGGACGGATCTGCATCGGAGGTGGACCTGATTCGCACCACGCTGACCTGGCTCAGCAAGACGCTTGAATCGAGTGTGGCATGTGGCATTCATCGACTTGGGTGTTTGGCCAAGTCAAGTGGTTAGCAACTTCCCCTTTTGGGATGGTGTGAGATCCTTTTGCATAGATGATGGCTATTTCTCCCGTTTGGACATCCTGGTGTTTTGGCACCCTTTGAAGATTCTGTGAGGGAGCGGGCAGGAGCATTTTTCAGAGTTCCACTGTCAATGGGCTTTGTACGGGGTTGCCCCCTTTCCTTGGCATGCCGCACCAATTTGCAGGTGCAATATGTTTTAATCTGATTGAGCTGGGCTTTGTCAGAAGCACATGGCCCGGAAGCTTTTTTTCTGGGGGTTCTTTGCGGCAAGCGGAAGTCAAGCACCACGTTTCTCTTGACTTGGTCGCCTTGGTCCAAAGCCAGCGCTTCTGGAAGCAGCCATAGCACATGCGGCGCCTAGGGCACAAGGCTCACCTCATGTCAGCCGAGGCCTATCTCTGAGGTTGAAGCTTCATTGGTTACGCGCAGCAGTTGTCTTCTTGCTGGTGCGAGAAGTGCGGAATGAAGGAATGAACCTGGGGCTCCCCTTAAAGGAAACCATCAGTTGGACGGTTTAGAGTCAGTTTAGAGGGGTCATTCCCTCATTCCCTGCTGAGCACAAGCAAGTTTTGCCAACAACTTTCAGGATCTCTCCTGCAGACGCGGTCCGCTTGTGGCCACAGCTGATCCAGAGCCACAAGAAGCTCCAAGACTCTGGCGACGACATCAAGACCCTGCTTACCTTGTGCTGCTCGGATCAGAGACCGTAGAAGGGGTCATGACGCTCGAATGACGAGCAGGAAAGTTGTATCAAAGGTCCTTTTCTTTCGAGCCATTTGGCTTGGACGCTCCGAGGTGAACAAAATGGCTTGGAGTTGCCGAAGCTGTCTCAGGCCGGGCTTGCAGTGGCAAAGCTGACCCGCCCAAACCATTTTTGGAAATTCGGCTGAATTTCCCCTGCAAGGAATCAGACAGGTTGCTCTTGGCAACGTTCCAACGCTGCGCAGGCTGTCTACAGGGACATGCCGGCATCAACATTGCAGAGCCTCTGCAGCTCCTCCCTTCCAGAGGCGACGTGCACGGCTCAAGGGTTGGGAACAGTTGGCTTAGGCAGTGAGACCTTTGCCCCTGTCAAAGGAAAACCAAAGGTTGGTTAAACACCGGAGGGGGTTGTGGATGACCACTCTTTGCTCAAGCAATGAGTGTCGCGGGAAGGGCAGGGGCAAGGCTGGCATTAGGAACAAAGCATGAGTTGTGTCTTGTGGTTCTTCAATTGCGGCCGTCTTGCAACACTTGCTGCAGACATTTCCGCAATCAAATCCCAAACCGGCTGGGCAGACCGAAGTATGAGGCTGTTCAAAGGCAACGAACAGCTTGCCTTTGCTTCAGTGGCCCTCTGGATGATACTCTTCCACGTCTTGCGCATGTCTGATTCCACACCCTAAATATTTGAGCAGACCGCTAAAGTTTGTGCCCCCCTTCTTTTGCCTTCCTTCCATTAAGCGGCAACCCAAAGAGGGGCATAGGGCGCCTAGCGTTCCAGGGTTGATATCTCGTTGATGTCCTAGCATCGTTCCAAGAACCTAGCTATTCCCTAGTATATGCAGTGGTTTTCAGGACAGAAGGGAAACAAGGGAGAAAACTGCATATACATATATATATATATATATATACATGTATATATGTGTGTGTGTGTGCATGCGTGTCTATATATATATATGTGTGTGTATGTGTGTCTGTGGGCGCGGCAGGCGCGCTTGGCGGCCATCCACGTGCTGAGGGAGCAGCACAAGACGGGGGCGCCCCCCGACGAGCTCCGCGCTTTGTGCGGCGACCCTGTGGTGGTGGTGCGGGCCTCCGCCAGAGACCACTGGGTGGCTTTGGGAGGCGCGTTGGCGTGACGCCGGGTTCAATTTGGGCTTTTTACGCCCCCCCTGACAAGGGCACACCATCTCATACCTGTTGACACCCGCATTGTTGAAATGACCTCACTTTGACAAGGGCGAGGGTCTGATGGTCTCAACCAATTTTGCCAATGAACCTGGAAGCTTCAAGGACCCTTGAAAACGGATGGGATTATGTGAGGTCCATACTAACCTTGTGAGTAGCTGGGGAGCGGAAAGCGAGCCTCATAGAGGTTTAGATTACCAATAAGGCCTTGTGGAGGTCATTGGCGGAAACCAGCAGGGGGTAGGTGGGGGTGCTATGAAAAAAGCGTATTGGCATGCCACAGAGATCAAAGTGGGATGGGTGAGAACATCCCTCTAAAAGCGAGCTCACCAGTCCGGGCGTAGAACAAGCTCACCCCTACTGAAAGTACCTTTCTGGGTTTTGTGTTGTTGGCTTTTTTGGTTGGATCGTTTGTTGTGCGCATTTCCGTCCATGGGGACTCGTCAGGCAAGGACGAAGGATGGCAGAAGAAGAAGGACGCCGAGAACGCGGAAGAGGAGGAGGAGGACGACGACGCCTGAGGCGACCGGCGGGCAACCGGCGAGCGACCGGCGGGCTGGGACCGTGGGTCGGGGGCTTGCAGAGCCCTGGCCCATTCTCAGGGCTAGGGAGAAGCGCCCGAAAGCGCTGAACCCCGCGGTTTTTGGCTTTTATGCGCTGGGTGCTTCACGGCCGAAACTCGAACAGCGACACCCATCTTAAGATGTGGACAACGAAACACCCCAAGCAGATGATGTCCACAGAACCCAGTTTTTTGCGACTCCTCGGGATTATCAAAAGCAGAAATCGGGGTTGGTTCCCCTTACTTGGAGGATGACTTTGGTCAACTCAGGCCAAAGAGGGTTTGGGGTGTGTAGGCCCTGAAGCGCCCGGTTCGATCGATTGAACAATATCGGCTCAGTGCAGCCATGAGCCGTTGCAGAATTTCAGGTAGGCAACGCATGCAACTGTCAAGCCCTGCGATTGTTCGCCTTTGTGAGCCAGGGGACAGATGTGGTCTGGAGGACCCTCTGGTTTTGATCCCAGCTTGTTCCTTTGGCAACTGAGCTTTGTTATAAAACTGGGGCCAAATTACCCTCCAAATGGTGGTTGAAAGGGAAACTGCGGCACGGAATTCTGAGAAGCCCTCAATTTGTTCCCTTCAAGGGCCCCAGTAAAGAGGGCTTGGCAGGACGTGCAGTGCCTGCATTCTAAAGTCTCGGCTTGGACCAACTGCCAAGCGCTTGCCAGATTCCTGTACCCTTGGATGGTCTCTTGAAAGCTTGGTGAGCTTTGGCTAGCGATTGAAATGAGACGGGTGAAAGTGAATTGAATATTTCCATCTTGCTTGAGCCTCGGGCTGCCAATGAATGATCGCTCACAATGGACATGTTGGATGGATGGGGGGAGGACGTCCATAGCATTAGGTCAACTTTGGTTGAACATAGAGCTGGAGACAAATATTGATTAGAAGAATCATGTGCCACTTGAGTTTTCGGGCCAGGTAAGGGGCATTGGACACAAAGATTATATCTGCGGGAATCTAAGGAACCTCGGGGCAAGTCCTTTTTGCCATCACGGCGCCTTGACTTTGAGCGTCGGACTGAGCATTGGCTCGGATGCTGCCGCCGAAAACAAAATGAACGCGCAAGCGGCTTCTTCACTGATCTTCTGGGCTACGAAAGAGGTTCGTTCAGGCTGCTCAGCACACTTTTTCAGGCCCTTCCTTTTTAGTTCATGGTACAGTCCCTCAGACGAACAGCCGGAAGCTCCCAGAAGGCTTCTGTGAATGGCAGGTCTTCCCAGCAAGTCTTGCAACATGTTGGGTAGACGGGGGGGCTTGCCCGGACCCGCAATGTCATTTGACGGGACTGAAAAAGGGCAATGTCGTGTTGCACTGTTTTTTGCAGTGCGTTCTAGGTTTCCCTGAGATGAAAAGCCACAGATCTAGGCTATTCTTTCGTTCATTCCTTCAACGTCAAGTGCAGGACCGGCTACATGTCAAAAAAATCCAAGCCCGAGTGGGACAAAAGCACATGACTCCAGTGGAACGTTCAACGGATAGCTCATACAGTCGGCGATGCAATCATGCCATGACTTCTTGGCTGCATTTGTTCGAGTTCCACCACTCAACAAAGCTTTCGCCTCAATCATCCACAATGTGCTTCTAGTCCCTGGCTTTGGGTGCAGCTTCGATTCCAGGGTCATTCCGGGGCCTATGAGCGAAAACGCAGGTGAAAGGCAGCCTCTCGTCGAGTTTCAGTTGTTTGGGCCTTTGGGCAGGGTAGAAAATGGGCTTTCCTTCAGTTTCACAGGGCCAAGTCTCTACGATGCGATGGGAGCCGCTTTTCGGAGAGCGACTCTAGGCTGTCTGGCTCCCCGCGTATCGGCTCAAGTTGGGCAGCTATGACTTCGGCCTCGTCGGAGCCGCTGGGAGGGAGGTTCTTGAGGGCACTAAGGTGGTATTGGTTTCTCTCAACATTTGGATTTGTTTGCTTAGGACACGGCCAAAAATCAGCAGGGACATGGTTGATTCCGTGTTCCTTCTCACTAGCGCTAACCAACATGTGTTCCCCAATGTGATGCACTTCGCAGATTGAAAGGACTAACACATGCGCTCATTTGTTGAGGGTTTCATTGATGACCTCCTCTCGGTAGAGCTGGGCAAAATGCTTTGCGGCTTGCCAACTGCATACGTCCCATCCACGACAATCCACTGGACCACTGTGTGCCTTTGCTGGCAGTGGGGATGTCACTCAGCGGTGTCGAAGTAGTTTGGCGCATGCCGCATGCATGATAGGTTTCGCAGCGGCCGCTCTCTCTCTCTCTAGGAGCTAAGCCAACAACTGCGAGCAGGTGCGACATCCGCATTTTCTCATCTCCTGAGTTCATGAACTTTAAACTTGTTGGGAAGACAATTTTAGTGGAAATATAAAGTTGGATTTTTTTTGGCCCATCCACTCAGCACGTGAGTTTTCTGGCGTTCGCAGACCCCTGCAGGCATTAGGACAAGCCACGAGTTGAGGTGCAAAGAGAAGACCCGGACACACCAATCGCAGGGATGGAGCGGCGTGAAATCCTGCAAACAGATTCCTGGACCTGTTCCTATTTTTAGTTGGGTTGCATACAGGCGGCACTGGTTTTCAGTTTGGTTCCATTCACCAGCGGAACCCCTCGATTTTCCCACAGGACTAGGGGGGGATCTTTCTCTATAGCCCTGGAAAGGGTGAATGAGACATACGGCTCTGCATGTTATGAAAAGATCTCTCGACCCCATAGCTCCCCATAGCCCTGGAAAGGGTTAATGAGACATGCTGCGACCATAGGGCCAATATGAAAAGAGCATGTGGATTCTGCACCCCCGTTGCCCATTACGGTCAAGGCCCTTCCCGCCCGTCGGGTTGGGCCGGCCAGAACGCCCGCGTGCCGCGTGCCAGGCTCCGGCCGGCGCCGCGCTCCCGCGCCGGCACCCAGCACCCAGAGCCCGGAAGATGTGGCCAGGGGACTTGGAGTCGCATGGATCGAGTCCTGCGCCAGGTTTGGGCTACCTGTTCTAGGTCCCCCAGTAGTGGTTTTTTTTGGGCTAAAGCGTTAACCGTAGGTGGTCGCTTGTCTTGACTCTTAATAAGTATCCACTTGGGCCACCATTTTGGCTCAAGTGGACCTTTTGATCTTTGGTCGTGTGATTTGAAATCTTTCTTTCCCCTCTCTCAAAGCCATGTACGCCCCCGCCTACGCTGGTGCCGCGGTAGCAGAGGCTAAGGCTAAGGCAAAGGCCTCCATGGCAAAGTACCTGGCGAGCCTCGTGAAGAGGGAGGAAGAAGGATGGACCGTTTTGGCTGCCGAGGTCCCTCAGGCACCTGACGAGCGTTTCTTCTCCAGCGCAGATGAGTTGGAGCAGACCCCTCTTATCCCGGCCAAGCGCAAGGCAGAGGATGAGCCGATGGAAGATGCAGCCCCTGGGGCGGCGCAGGTGCCGAAGGCCCTGACACGCCCCCCAGGGGCGTTCCTGGAGCTCCTGAACCCGCCGGAGGAGGACGTGCCCATGGAGGAGCTCCGGGCGCAGGACGAGAAGGAGCTGCCGATGCCCAGGTCCCCCTCGGCTGCAGCCCGCTTGGAAGAGACCCGCCTGGATGCCCGGGCAGACGCCAAGTGGCAGAGGCGCCGGGAGCTGATGGCGAAGGTCAAGGAGCAGGCGTCCTCGGAGGAGGATGAGAACCCCGCAGCCCCCCCGCCGGGGGGGAGCGTGTTCACCAAGGCCCTCAAGGTCTCGGAGGGCCTCTACCAGTTCAGCGACGACCAGATGGCGGGCAACTTCCCTTGCTTCGATGCGACCACGGCCAATAGGCTCCGCCGACTGCAGGCCAGGGACGTCCAGCGGCTCCTGCGAGGCTTTGAGGGCCCCCAACTCAAGCAGGGGGGCCTGGAGCGCGTTGTGGAGGCCTTCTACATCGCCAAGATGAAGTACGAGCATGAGGCCCGGCTCAGCACCCCGGGACAGCAGGTTGGCAAGCGCGCTGGCTTGGGGTACGGGGGCCTGGAGAACCGCCCCCTGGGCAAGGTGCCCACATCCTGGATCTGCCCCTGCTGCACCATGCCCTGGGTGAAGAAGGGCGCCACGAAGTGCATGGGGTGCGGCAAGAAGACGGAGCCCATTGACATGGCGACCAACTCGGCCACCCTGGAGATGGCGGGCACGCATTGGCAGTTGACGGTGGATGACCAGGGCAATGCGGTCTGGACGGCGGCCCGGTCCGCGGGTGCCGAAGGCCCTGACACGGACCGGGCCCGCGACCTCAAGCTCAGTGCCTCGGTGGACGTCAGCGAGCTGGCCACCGACCCGATGGCCTGCGAGAACCCGGACCAGGCCAGCTTCTCGGACTTCGTCCCCTCCTCGGTCCGGGCGGTGATCAGGAACTGCCCCATGGAGCTGGACGAGGAGTTTCTGACGGCCCCACCGGGGGAGAGGCCCCCATTGCCAGGCGACAAGGAAGAGGGCCAGGAATGCAGAGCCTTCCACCCGTCTGCGGTGAAGGCCTTCAAGATTCAGACCCGGCTCAACGCCACCACCATCGCCCAGGAGGAGGCCAAGAAGGCGGACCAGGTGGAAGCGGTGGACCGCTCCGCGGCAGTCCTCCACGAACTTCAAGGGGGGGCCATTGACGGAGGAGGTGATGGAGGCCTGCTCCTGAAGAACCTGGACTTGGACCTCTTCCGTGAGAAGCTGCTGGACAAGCTGGGTGCGGACTGGGGGAGACCCACACCGGAGCTCCTCCAGGCCCAGACCACCGCGGAGGAGGCGAAAGCGAAACACCAGGCCAGACAGGCGAAGGGCGCCCTCGAAACCAGGATGCTAGCGCCCATCGCGCCTCCCTTCAGTGCGTGGCCCAGTGAGGTCCGGGTCGCCATTGAGACTGGGGTCTTCGAGCCGACAACGGCATGGAGGGACTTCAGTATGGACGACCTCACATCGCTCACGGACTCCTACCTTCAACCCAAGGCGGTCATCTCGCTGGGTAGGAATCCCTTCCCGGCGGCCCTCCTGTCAGATCTGCCGGACCTGGCAGGGATCCCCATGCCAAAGGCGGGGGGCTCTGGTGCGGCGCGCCCAGGTGCCGAGGGCCCTGACAGGCCGCCCACCATCTCCTCAGCCTCGGGCTCTGGCGTGACGAGCTCAGGTGCCGAGGGCCCTGACAAGCCGTCCGCCACCCCGGTGGGCCTGGACACCAAGGACCCGGAGGTGCAGCTCTCGGTCCTGCGCTGGATGATGAGCAAACGGGTCGGAGAGGTCCGTATCTTTGCGGGCCGCTGGGTCCGACGACCGGGCCCGGTACACGTCCCGGATTGGGCGGAAAACCTCACCAAGGTGAATCCGGAGGCGTTGGAGAAGGGTACGCATCCCAGGAACCACCAGGTGGGTGGACTCCCCTGGGCCAGGTACTCCGTGGATGAGTTGAACCAGCAGGTGAAGGCGGGGGACCGACCCTACCCTGGGGACCTGCGATCCATCTTTTGGGCTGCCGAGGATTTCCACTGGATTCGCCAGATCTCGTCCTGGACACTCCCAGGCCTACTGGGGATGTTCGGGCACAGCTACACCCTGCGCCAGCTCTGGGGAGTCTGGGAGTCTCTGCCACTGCTGCAGGGCCCTAGGCAGCGGGGCCCGAAAACAAGGCCCAGAATCAGACCCGCCTGGAGGGCTGGGAGACCCTGAAGGAGGACGCGCGGTGCTTCCTGAAGGAGGAGGGCCTTCCGTTTCCGCAGACAGGACCGGAGTGGCGATTGGTCTACCGGGCCATGGGCAAGGTCCTCGCGGCCCGGGCCTTCCTCACGGACACCCCGGCGGAGGTGATGCAGCTCCCGGTCCAGGACGTGGCGGACTCCAAGGAGCAGATGATCCTGCGGGCGGTATGCGACGAGCGCATCTCGGTCCCGGTGGAGAGCCTCCAGCAGTTCCCAGAGGTGTACAAGGCCCTCATGGACCGCATTGGAGGCCCGGGGGCCCTGGCGGAGGTGAAGGTCAACTGGCGCTGCAACACGAAGCAGTGGTGGGTCGGCGCAGTCCCCGACTCAGTGGCCCCCTCCATCTACCGCAAGCTCGGCTACACCAACGACATGATCAAGCTGATGGGCCTGGACCCCTCCGCCCCTGGGTGCCGGACAGGTGCCGATGGCCCTGACATCCGCCCCAGGGGAGGCGAGGGCGATGAGGGGATCGTTTACCCCCCCATCACGGCGGACAACGTCCACGGCGTGGTGGGTAAGGACTACCGGAAGAAGAACTATCCGGTGGAGATGAAGCATGTCTTCTGGGCGCACATGGAGTGTGGCCTGGTCCTGAGCTCCGTCACCCCGTGGGAACTCATCCCGAAGACAAAAGGGGAGACCCGGGGGGGCTACATGTGCAAGTATTGTAAGGGGTACTGGCGTGCCGGGGGAGGGGGCACCCGCCTCCTCCAGATCCGGGCCGGCAAGGCCATCTTGCAGCTGGTGTTGGACGAGCCGCCGGAGGGCCTCTACAACCGCTGGGTGAAGGAGCGGCTGGAGTACTACCGCCGGGTGGAGCCCTCGGCCCCGTTGCGGGACGTCTCCATCGTGGACCAGAAGGTGCCTAGATTCAGATTCAGCCAGGCCACCCAGACAGGCCACGTCTCCAATGCCATCTGGGAGCTGATTCTGCGGAATCCGGAGGCTGCTGCGCTCAAGCGCATAGATGACATCGCGAAGAGGGCCGCGTGACGATGCGGGACAACGCCATCTTCCGGCACATCATCCAGAACCGCGGCCATCCGGAACGGATGCGCAGCGCACCCTGGGGGTGGGACAGCTGCCGAAGGCGCTGATATCCCCCCCCAGGGAACAGCGCAGGCCCAGACCTGCACCAGGCAAGGAAAATTGGCGCGGCTTGGGCTAATCCGGGGTGCGCCTGGTTCCCCTCTCTTGTTTGGTTTTCCCTTTTCGGGGCGGCTCCCTGGGTCCCCCCTTTTTCCCCCGTTCCCTCCGTTTCGGGGTTGACTTTCCGGGGTTTTGGGGGGCCCCCCCCCCTGTTGTTTGGTTGGGGTTGGCACCTAAAAAAAAGCCCCCGGCTCGAGTGGATCATGATGATGTGGAGGCCCCGCCTCCCTTCCCCGTTTGGGACGACCTTCCTAGGGGCGCCAACCGCGCTCCAGTTGATTTTGCATGACCTGGGATTTGCACCAGTGCAGTCGGACGGGGAAATCCTCGTGGCGTGCTGCCTGGAATGGGTCAAGAAGGACAAGGTCGCCAACCCGGCCGTGGACACGGATCGTGGGGCTGGCACCTGACGACAACCACGTCCTGGTGGCCTCGGACACCTACAACTTGATCCTCGCGAGGATGCTCGGCTCCCAACCACAACCGCTGGAGGAGGCGGATTTGGAGCTCGCTACTAAGACCCTGCAACAACTTCTGTTTCGTGCGGCAGGCGCCAGGCAATCGCACACCTATTCTCCACTGGAAATGGAACAGGCCATCCGGGACCGCGAAGAGTGGATCCTTTCCGGATCGATTGAGGCCCCGGATGTCCTGGCAGTGGCCAACAAGTGGCGGCATTGGAAACCAGGGAAGATCAAAACCCAATTGCCGACATCTCAGAGAGCGTTGGCAACACTTGAGGGCCAGGTGGTTGGAACGCCTCCTGGGATACTTCATCCCCTTCCGGCACCAGATCCCCTACATGCACCAGGTGATGGGGGCCAGGGAGCTGGAGGAGTTTGGCCACTTCTTTGGTGATGCCCGGTTCCGTACCATCCGGGCACACTGCTTGGCCTATGAGGGCATGCGCAAGATCGGCTTCCAGAACCTCCCCTGGACGGCTGGCGACGTCCGGCACCTCATGAACCAGGCGGTCACGTTGGAGGTCACCCCGGCGAAGCTCCAGAAGTGGTGGGGCACTTTAAAGTGGCTCTCCATTAAACTCGGCATGCTCAACGTTGACGAACACAAACAACTCCTGGAGAAGCGGAAAGCCATCCA